ATGTGCATCTGTTTACTCATTTCGTCACAGGCCCTTCACTAGGATGTGAGTTGTATGAGCGCAGGGAACTCGTGTGTCTTATTCACTACTGTGTCCACAGTACCTTTTTATAGCATCTGGCACACAGTAGGCGCTCAATAAATGTTGTGGAAGAGATAAATGGATATACACATTTTACTGCAAACTACCTGAAATATTTTTATGTTTATTAGTTAATTAACTTATGTATTTATTTTAGAAAGAGGAAGAGCACGAGTGGGAAGGGCAGAGGGAGAGGGAGAGAGAATCCCAAGCCGACCCCGCGCTGAGCGCAGAACCTGATGTGGGGCTTGATTCCATAACCCTGAGATCAGGATCTGAGCTGGATGCTGAACTGATTCCGCCACCCAGATGCCCCTGAGATATTCTTTTTTTTTTTTTTTAAAGGTTTTATTTATTTGAGAGAGACAGAGAGAGTGAGAGAGAACACAAGCAGGGGGGAAGGCAGGCAGAGGGAGGAGCAGACTCCCCGCTGAGCGGGGAGCCCGATGTGGGACTCGATCCCAGGACCCTGGGATCATGACCTGAGCCGAAGGCAGACGCTTCACCGACTGAGCCACCCTGGTGGGCACCTTCCACTTTCCCCATCCCTCCCCCCAGTGCTGGATGCCCGGATTGCCTCTAACTTCCCACCTCCCCATTCCCATGCCTGTCTCCTCTCTGGGTCATGTGCCCAGTGGATGAACTGCCGGCCATAGGGAATGTGTATATTGAAGGGCGTGGCACCTGGGTGGCTCAGTGGGTTGAGTGTCGACTCTTGGTTTCAGCTCAGATCCTGAGCTCAGTGTCCTGAGATCAAGCCCTGTGTCGGGCTCTGTGCTGAGTGCAGAGTCTGCTTGAGATTCTCTCTCCCTCTGTGTCTGCCTCTCCCACTCATGCTCGCTCTCTCTCAAATAAATAAATCCTTGAAGGTGCCTAAGTATTGCCAGAAAAAAAAAAAATGCATTTCAGAAAGATGTTTCTGGGCTGTCTTCATTACTTCATTTACAAATCTTTACCGGTCACCTGCAAGGGGTTGGGTACAGTTTTCGGCACTGAGAACAGAGCAGCGAACGAGACAGACAAGATCTCAAGCTTACACATCACAAACAAGAAAATACGAGCAAGGAAATAGCAGGTACGAATAATTACTATAGTGGCAATCAAGCAGGATGGTAGGATAGGATGTCTGGAAGGCTACTTTGCTGGCGAGGTACTTCTCACAAAATGGACTGGAAAGGGGCAATCCTGAGGGAGGGGGAGGCAAGCAGGCGGGAGGCCATCTCGGCGATGCAGGGGAGGGCTGCCGATGGTGTGAACTGGTGGGGACGGTGGGGCTCATACCTCTGGGCCTGGATATGGTGGAGCCCTTTCCCAAGACAGGGGACCCTGGGGATTGGTGGCTGGCAGCCGGCCACCCCGGGTCTGGAGCTCAGGGCACCCAGGCCAGAGGCACAGACTGGGAGTCCTCTGGGTTTGGGCTGGCTCTTGGTTCCCTGGGGCCGCCATAACAAAGTACCACCAGCTTGGTGCTTAAAAAGACAGAAATTTTTGCTTACGGTTCTGTAGGAGGGAAGTCAAATCCAGATGTTGGCAGGGCTGTCCTCTCTCCCAAGCCAGGAGATGGGCTTTCCTCTTCCAGCAGCTGATGGCCCCAGGAGCTCCTTGCAGCTTGTGGGGCTTGGGCCTCTGCCTGTCATCACGGGGCGGGGGCGGGGGGGGGGCAGCAATCTTCCTCCACGGCTGCCTCTAGCCACGGCAGTTTACAGGTGCACCCGCCACAAAGACCGAGGTGGAGACACAGGGACAAAAAGGTGTCCACTGAACTAGGTGGGACGCCAGGCCAAGGGAAGAAGCAGAGCCCAGGGGGATGCAGACAGGTTTTCAAGAGATTTGGTTTGGAAGGAAAAGCGTGACATAAGGGAAGAACTAGAAGGGATGGAACAGTATGGTCCCAGCACAGCGGAAGGAGGTTGGTGACTCCGAAGATGACGCCCTGCTTTCGAAGCCCCGCTTGGCTTGTTCCGCAGCCGTGTGGTCTTGGGCTGGTTGCTTAACCCCCCTACACCTCAGTTTCCTTATCCGGAGAACGGGGATAATGACAGTACCCACTTCCCAGGGTTGTCGGGAGGAATTAATGATTGAGGGCACCTATTAGCACAGCGTGTGGTACGCAGCGAAGTGCTGAATATTAACTCTTATTATGAAGAAGTTAAAAAAAAAAAACAAGACGAGGAGGAGGTTTCCCGAAGGAGGTGGTAAGTAATAGGAGATGCGGAGGAAAGGTCAAGGAGCTGGCGGCGCTAGCCGAGCCCGGAAAGAGGGGACAGGGAGCAGAGGGGAAGGCTGTAGGTCTGCAGGCTCTCTGGAGCAGCTAAGAGAGAGCAGGTGCTAGAGGAGACAAGACCTAAACCCTGGTTTGGGCAGCGAGAAAGTGTGTGTGTTGGGGTGGGGGTCGCGTTGGGGTGGGAGAATGTGGATCAAGGGGCACAGACGGCATCTCGGTTTGATACCACGCATCTTCACCTCTGTGCTACACCTGGGCAGCCGAGGGAAACTTCTACAAGTGAGTGATGGGCACCAAAGAATGATTGCTTGTGGGTGCGTGGTGATGTCGCTCAGCGAGGAGGGGGTGGGGGACGAGGAGTTTATACGTGGGCTGGTCAGGTCAGGTTTCAGAAGCCTGGAGCAATCAGCTAGAGAGAGCCGGCTCGGTCTGGTAGGAGGTGGGAGGTGCTCAGGGCTGGACACACAGGCTTCAGAGGCACCGTGGCAGGTGGCCGCCCAAACTGGGGGGGGGGGGGGGGGGGGCAGTGAATAATGAATAGAATGACCTGCAGAAGGCAGGTGGCAGGAGAAGACAGTCCAGAAAAGGCAGAGGCTGGTGGAGGAGAACAAGCCGCGGAAGGAGAGGCCTGGGGGCATGGCAACACCACCAGAGGGACACTCGTCTGGACGAGAGGAAAGAGAACCCAACCTCATGCAGTGACGGACTCGATTAGGAAGGGCTTGTGGACCGTTGCCGAAGACATCTCGGTGGGGTGGCAGGGGAGAGACCAGATATGGGTTGGTAGGGTGGGAAAGAAAGACAAGGAAGCAGAGACCGTAAGGACTGCTCTCAGGAAGCCTGACCCTGGGGTCTCCTGACATCTTTTTAACCTTACTGCAGACAGGGCTGCCCCTTCCTATGAGCCTCATCTCGTAGCGCAGTTAACCAGTCCACGCCAGAACTCCCTCTGCCCCTTCCGTACGCTCCCTCTGCTGCCGGGGCCGCCCTGCGTGGTCTCTCGCTTGCCTTGCCCCAGCCCTACCCTCCCGCTTCTACATTGTTCGAGCTCGGGGCTGGACACAGGTACCTCGGTCCTTAACAGTCCGAGGGAGGGTAGTCATTTCTGCATCCCTCACGGCCTTGCCTGGTGATTTAGTCGTTTGCTCACTTTTCCCTCTTTTTCTGTCCGCGCTGCCCGAGGCGCTGGGACAGAGAGAACCGTCGCCTCGCCAAGGGCCGCAGCGGTGGGGCGGGCGGGGGAGCAGGGGGCAGGACCGCGAGGGAGCCGGCGCCTCCGGGAGCGGCCGGCAGAGGGCGCGCCGGCACCGGGATTGGCCGCGGCTGGAGCGCGGACCCCGGGACTGGGGACGCGCACGTGGGGCCCGCGGCGCGTGCGGGCACGAGGCCTGGCTGGGGCGCAGCGTCCCGGTTAAAAATACGCGCCGCCGGGGTCGGGGGTTGGGGGCGGCCCTCGGGAGGGACTTCTGGAGCCGCATTAGTCCGGGAGGGACACTGCAGCTCGGGGCGAGCACCCGGGCTCCCTTGAAATCTGGGGCAAGCCTCGCGCCGGGACCTCAGTCTTCCCATCTGCGGAATGGGGATCGTGCATTTCTTCGAGAAATAGTGAGCGGCTGCTGCGGGCGTCAGTCAGGCCGACAAGTCCTTACCGCGGTGCAGTTCAGCCTCGCGGGGCGGGGGCGGGACAGAATAAATGGGCAAGTGCGGGAGCCGCTCCGCTCTTCTTGTCCTCAGCCAGGACAAAAATGAAGGATGATGGGCTAGGGAGGTCACCCTGAGAATCACGGAGGGGAGTTCTAGGTGGAGGAAGGCGCCCGTGCAAAGGCCGCGAGGCCGCAGGGCCTGGCCGGTTGGGGGAAAGGAAGAAGGCGGACCGAGCGGCCCGGGAGCTGGACGGGGCGCGCGGGACCCCGAAACAGTGGGGTCCGCGGGGAGGCTGGGGGTGCCTGGAAGGGGCTCGAGGGAACTTCCTCCCTCGGGCGAGGTCAAAACAGCCTTGGCCGGGGTGCTGGCCGCACGGATAAGGGGAGTTGTGCATTTTGCTCTGTGAATTCTACCTTAAAAGCAAAAGTGAGCGCAACTGCGAGCTGCGAAAGTCGTCCTTGTGCGGCGCGGGCGAGTCCGCGGCCCGGGGCGTGCGGGGCATCCCTCGGGGAGAGGCGGTGTGCGGGCCCCGGCCGTCTCGAGGGCGGAGGGGAGCGGTGCCGCCCCCAGCCCGAGCGGAGGCTGCCGGCGCCGGCCCCCCACCCGGGTCGTCAGGGGCAACCCTGGAGCTGCGCCCCCCGCCCCGCCCTGCGCGCAGAGGCCAGGTGGCGGTTGGGGCGCAACCAGCCCGTTTGATTTCCCGCGGCCGGTGGAGAGGGGCGGAGGGGGAGGGGAAAGGGGCCGTCGGCCAATAGGCCGGGCTGGCGGCGGTCATGTGACGGTCGCGGGGCGGGGCCCAGGTGTACTTACGGGGCGCTGAGCAGGGGCCTCGGCCTCCGCGCGAAGTCCGGGAGGCGGGGCCGGCGTGCGGGCCGGGGGGCTGCTCCTCTCCGATTGGCCTGTGGCCGGGAGGCGGGGCCTGCGCGCGCCGCGGCTGCGGGCTGCGATTGGCCTTGGCCCCGGGCCCGCTGCCGGCGTGCGGGCGAGGCTCGGGGCGCGAGGACCGAGCGGGGCGGCGGGTTCGCGAGCCAGGGGGAGGGGCCGGGGCGGTGGCGGCGGCGGCGGAGGCGGAGGAGGTGGCGGCGGCGGGGGCCGGTACCGGACCCGGCGGGATGAGCGAGGCGGAGGCGGCAGCGGTGGCGACAGCGGCCCCCGCGGCGACGGTGCCCGCGACGGCGGCAGGGGTGGTAGCGGTGGTGGTACCGGTGCCCGCGGGGGAGCCGCAGAAAGCAGGCGGCGGGGCGGGCGGCGGCGGGGTCGGAGCCGCCTCGGGCCCCGCTGCCGGGACCCCCTCGGCGCCGGGTCCCCGCACCCCTGGCAACCCCGCGACGGCAGCGTCGGGGACCCCCGCGCCCCCGGTCCGGAGTCAGGCGGACAAGCCGGTGCTGGGTGAGGGGCGGGCGCGTGCCGGAGCGGCTCTACGGGGTCGACGGGCTGGGGGAGGGGCATCGCGGAGCCCACGCGGTCCCGAGAAGCCGAAGGCCGGCCGGGCCCCGAGGCTCCAAGGGCTGGCTGGGCTGGGGGCAGCTGCCCCGAGTGAGTTCGCCTGGTGGGAAATCCCGCCGCGCCTTCCCTGCTGGGGGGGCGTGGTGGGCAGGTCCCGCTGGGCGCTTGGGCACGCCCCCGCGGCGGAGACTCGGCCTAGCCCCAGCCTTCGGTCAGCCTGGGAAGCAGGTGCACTGGGAATCCTTACGTTGGGAGGGCAGGACTTGGTGGGCCGGGTGAGTACCTGGTTCTAGGTGAAGGGCCTGGATTTGTAGCCCAGGAGCAAACTGACTTAGAGTTGGAAGGCTCTTGACAGCCTGAGCACCGCTGTGTGGGCGCTTCCACTTGGTGGACCTGGGATCAGAAAGAATGCTTTGAAGCTACTGGGCGAAACCGGTGGCTTGAGGTTATGCTTAATAGGTAAAAGGGAGGTGGACTGGATTTGGAGTGTCTCCAAACTGAGCCCGACTCCATCTCTTCCCCCCCATCTTACTGACCCCACTGCATCTCTGCCTGGCAGCAATCCAAGTCCTGGGCACTGTCAAATGGTTCAACGTCCGGAATGGTTACGGATTCATCAACAGGTATCTGAGAAACCCAGGGAGGGGGTGGAAGGGGTGTCTTCCAAACTGGCCTGTGGGACTGGACACCCTCCCGACCTCCTCCCTCCCCCTGCTGAGGCACGTGGTTGCAATGTCCAGCTGACGCTGATTGAACGTCTTTAGCCGCCGCACAAATGTGGGCAAGGTGAAGTCTCCTGCGTATCTCCAAGGGCAGCAGAGAGTTAATGATCTAGGAACTTAGCAAACCTGGCTCTGAGCTGCCCACCTTGTCTGTCTCACCTTGTGGTTTAGTTTGCCTTTGGGGCAGAATGTACCTCCTGTGTGCGCCCCAAGGCTCGGGGCTGGAATCCTCACTCATTTCCTGTCTCGGGCGGCTGGAGGAGCACTCCCCTGACTCATCTCCCTTAGAGGGCTGCTGGCTCATTTGAATCCCCTCACCTGACCCTGACGGGACGGAGGCTGGAGGGGCGGGTTGGGGAAGGAAGCCAGCCCCGGCAGAGGCTGCTGCTTTCCTTCAGTTGGACAGCCCCAGCCCTCCCGCGACTGCGGAGGGGCTGTCGAGGCGGATTCTGAGCAGAGCCAGGTCTCCCCCAGTGGGCCCTTCCCCAACCCGGGCACCCTGCCCAGCCCAGCCCTCCCGGGAGGCCCCAGTTCCCTCTTAGCAGGCTGACCTTTGTGCAGATCCAAGTGCTTTAAAGTGAGAACATTTGATCTAGGGAAGGATCCCTCTCTAATTCTGGAAACTTAGGGCTCCTGGGAAGTTCTGAAGGAAAATCCGTCCCCCCCTCCCCGCCGTGGGGTGCTAAGATAAACTGGGGTAATAGGCAAGTCGTGATTGAAAATGGTAAAATATTTTCTTCTTTCTCACCCTTGGTCCTTTGGTATGTTGGAGGGGGGGGCTGATCCTGGGGCTCACCTCTGGGCTGAGGGTGAGAATAAAGTCTTGGGGATGTTTAGAGCAGGTTCTGGACACATTGTCCCCTTCTGCTCCTTTCCCCGTCCGTACTTTCTCTTTCCTTCTAGACTATAGAAAGGAAGACATGGAGAGGAATTTTCCAGCCATGATAGGGGTTGGGGGCAGGGGCCAGAGATAGTTAAACTCAGCACTGCCAGGTTCTAAGGTGCCCTGGGGCAGAGAGGTGAGTCCTCAGCAGGTAAAGAGCTGGCCCGGCATCTTCAAGGTGACTTTGCCTTCCCCCTCTGCCCTTAGGAAGCTCAGGGTTTTCGCCATACTTCTCTTCATACCAGCTTCTGGCTCTTGTCACTCCCCAGGCCCCCCATCTCTCCCCACCCTCCCCCCCCAGCCCCTGCAAGGAGCCAGGGGAGGCCAGCGAGGATGGGCCTGCTGCTTTGGGGCATGGGCAGCTGGGGAGATCTCACCAAGGTCCCCCCCCTAACAACCCCTCCTGTTCTGCAGGAATGACACCAAGGAGGATGTCTTTGTTCACCAGGTAAGAGCTAGGGGGGAGAGGGGTGGGGAAGAACCCACCCTCTCTCTCTCTCTCTCTCTCTCTCTCTCTCTCTCTCTCTCTCTCTCGAAAGGCCTATGCCATAATCCTCAGCAGCACGCAGCTTTCTCCTGCCTTTCCCCTCACGACAGCATGCCCACCAGGAAACGGCCCTCTCCTCCCCCTCGCCTCAGGTGCCTGTATTAACCGCCATTGGCCCCACGTGTGTCCCGCTGTCTGCGAGAAATGAGCTTGTTGCCCCCCGGCCGTGGTGTGCTCACTCCCCACATCAGGACCTGTTAACACAAGGACGAACCCTAGGCCGTGTTCTGAGGGACAGGACACAGGCTAGAGCTACTTGGGTGCGGTGGTTCTCAAAGTGTGGTCCCCGCTCAGCAGCATCACCTGCCTGCCAATTCTCAGCTCCCCCCAGACCTGCTGAAGCAGTGGGGCTTGGGGGCGGAGCCCAGCACCCGTTTGCAGGAGCTCTCCAGGTGCTGCGGCTGGGCCCGCAGGTTGAGAACCACTGCTGGGGGGGAGGAGCTCTCAGGTAAGCAGCGGTGCATTTGGCCCACTGGGCAACTTAGCACTGTCTCAGCTTTTGGTTTTGCTTTGAGTTCCTGCTTCTGGCCTCCCTTTGGGAAATCCCAGAGGGGAAAGGGAGGAGGGAGTGTGTCGTGGGGATGGACAGTGCTGAGGGCTGGGAGGAGCCTGGTTTTCGGCTTCTCCCCCACTGAACTTGGCCTGCCTCCGCGCTCCGCCCTCCGCCCGGCCCGGCCACACGGATGATGGATGGTGAACCGCACGAAATGGGGTGGCGGGCCCAGCAGGGGTGAGGGAGACTCCGGGCTTGCTGCCCTCACCTTTCTCATGGCCTTTCCCCTGCCAGACGGCCATTAAAAGAAACAACCCCAGGAAGTTCCTGCGCAGCGTCGGAGATGGGGAGACAGTGGAGTTCGATGTCGTGGAGGGAGAGAAGGTTCGGGCTGCGGCGGGGCAGGGGTGGCCCGGCTGCAGGAGGGAGGCCCTCCCGAGGCCCCCCTTCCTCGGGCCAGTTAGCCCGGGCCTTGGGATTGGGGCCGAGCTCTCCCGAGGACGCGTAGCCTTCGCCACTCTGGTGTTCTACAGACACGTCCCTCTTAATAACATCTGGGTTTCTTCGTTACGCACCAAGCACTTCCAGTCTGTTCTCCACGTGTCCTGAGCCCGCCCTCCTCCTCCCCCACCTTCCCCCCCCACCCCAAGAGGGTCCGTAGCAGCTACTCGGGAGGGGCAAGTTACAGAGGAGGCCTCTCCTAGAAGGGTCCACACGAAGGCCCGGGCCCCAGGGGGAGGGTAGGAGACCCCAGCCCGGAGGAGCTGCAGGGAAGCCGGAGAGGGGGATTTAGCTGGGAGAAGGGGAGGCAGGTTTGGGGGTGTCGGGCGCGCAGCCGGGGCGAGCTCTCACTGTCCTCCCCGTCTCCCTCACCCCCAGGGTGCGGAAGCTGCTAACGTAACTGGGCCGGGGGGCGTGCCAGTGAAGGGCAGCCGCTATGCCCCCAATCGACGCAGGTTCCGCAGGTTCATCCCGCGGCCTCGTCCAGCTGCCCCGCCACCCATGGTGGCAGAGGCTCCGTCAGGCGGGGCTGAACCGGGCAGCGAAGGGGAGCGGGCCGAGGACTCTGGACAGAGGCCCAGGCGGCGGCGCCCACCTCCCTTCTTCTACCGACGGCGCTTTGTGCGAGGCCCTCGGCCCCCCAACCAGCAGCAGCCTATAGAGGTGGGGGTCCTGGGCGTGTGGGGAGGGGCGTCGGCGAGGACGGAGACCTCAGAGTCTCCAGAGGAAGAGGAGGGGGGCCGGAAAGGGGGCCGGAAAGGGCCCCAGGGCGGCAGGTGTCCCTCCCCGCCCCCCAGGCCTTTGTGTGTTCCTAGGGCACCGACGGGGTAGAGCCCAAAGAGACAGCCCCATTGGAGGGGGACCAACAGGGAGATGAGCGTGTCCCCCCTCCCAGATTCCGGCCTCGGTACCGAAGGTAAGACTCCCTTTCTGGGGCCGTCTTCCCCTCCCTGTCTGGTACTGGTCTGGGGGGAGCAGGGAGGGGAAGAGCGAGGCTGCTAAGAGGAGCCTGAGGCTAGTGGCGAGGGGGGCAGGGCAGCTCAGTGATGCCCAGCGGGGGTGGGAAAGCAGGCTGGTTCCCCTGGGCTGGGGGAGCCCTGGGAGGGAGGGAGACGAAACAAGTCCCCCACTTGTCTCCCCAGGCCTTTCCGCCCCAGGCCACCCCAGCAGCCTACCACAGAAGGTGGGGATGGCGAGACCAAGCCCAGCCAAGGCCCCACTGATGGGTCCCGGCCTGAGCCTCAGCGCCCACGAAACCGCCCCTACTTCCAGCGGCGGCGGCAGCAGCCCCCCGGACCCAGGCAGCCCACAGCCCCGGAGGTGAGGACCTGGGCTGCTTGGTGGGGGGCTAGGGGGGTAAGAGAAAAGGCCCCAGCCTGTTTCCCTTCCCTTCTCTGCCCCTGCCCCCCCCACACACACACCAGGGAGCCCAGACTTCTGCTGCTGGGTCCACCACCTCCGGCAGGTGCCCTTCCCCGCACCCCCCCCCCCCGCTCTGCTTGGAAGCCCCAGCCCCTGCTTGTGGGAGGAATGGGAAGAAAAAAGGTGGAAGAAGGTTAAAGTTGGGGGCTCTCAAGGATAAGAGGGTCTCAAATGACTGCCCCTGTTCTCGCCAGACCTCAGCCCCCATCAACAGTGGGGACCCCCCCACCACCATACTGGAGTGACTCCAACACGAAGGACCCCCAGAGCTACCATCTGGTGAGCGGCTGCGCCCGGGGGGCAGCCCCGGAGGTGGGGCGCTGGGGCCTGAGGAGGGGTCGCGGTCACCATTTGTCCCTGTCTTTCTCTCACGCAGGTTGTCTGCCAGTTTTTCCAGCTGCCCTGTACCCCACCCAGCACCCCTCCCCCCTTCCCATGACTCATGACATCAAAACATCGGCTTTCCCCTTTTCCTTGAGACTCAGGAGGGCCGAAGCAACAGCCGTTTGCTTCTTCTCTGTCCCCTACCAAGGGCTGAAGGAAGGGATCCATCCTGTTGTTCAGAGGCACCATGTCCCTCCCCTGGATCAGGCTGAGAAGGAACCAGCCAACTCTCACCTCCTCCTGGTTGTTTTTCTTTCCCACCCCAGTTTATTTTTGGTCTCTCCTCTAGCCCCTACCTCTGAAGCCATTTTATGAACTGTCATGTGCCACCTGAGCCTCCAGTAAAAACAAAAACAGGCTTTCCCTGTGGTCTTGGTCTCGGCGTCTTTTCTGTGGAGTCACTGGAGACTCCCTGTGAGTCACCTATCCCATCGTAGCCTGGGGCTGACTGCTCCCCTGCAGGAATGTTCTGGGAAGTGCCCAGGGCAGCGGCTAGCACTGGGGGCTACAACTTACTGAGCATTTACTGTTCATAAATGCAATGACCGGGGCGCCCAGCTGGCTCAGGCGGTAGAACATGCCACTCTTGATCTTGGGGTCGTGTGTTCAGGCCCCACGCTGGGTGCAGAGCTTAGTTTAAAAAAAAAAAGAAAAAAAGCAATGACTAGAAGCTTAAGTGTGGGCAGAGTGACCACATCCAGAGGATTCTTGGGCCTTGAGCTAGGACAGGGTGGAGAGAGGGACAGAGACGCAGAGAGGACAGGGAGCGGCCCCGGGTGCCTCCACAACAGGACGCGCATCGCATACAGTGACTTTATGTATGGATCTCTCTCTATATATACATATATATATACATTTAGTACAACAGACCTTTGGTTTTTTCTTCCTACCCCTTTTGCAAACATATACAAAAATATCTGAAGGCTCCTCCCACCCCGTGTTTACAGGCAGCCTTTCAAACTCCTCTTTCCCTTAGTTGGTCAAAAGCTTGTGGGTAGAACACCCTTGAGGAGGGCAGAGGAGGCAGGAGTGGGGCCCCCCCTTGGAAGCCTCGGGAAGCCGTCCCTCTCACCACACGTGCCCTGGAAGATGGAGCGAGAGAGCTGAGCCTGCCAGGAGAGCTGAGCTCAGGCCTTGGGAGGCTGTGTCCTCCGTCTGGGAGGGGTCAAGATGGGACCCCCTTCACCCAGAGTTTATGTGGCAAGAATTCAGAGAAAGTGCCAGTGAGTAGGAGGAGTCCGAGGTAACAGGAAGCTACTTCTCTGCTCCAGTCCTGCTCCCTGCTTCCGTCCACCCACTAAAAAGTCAGCCCAGGGCCTCTCCTCCCCACACCCCCCTCTTCTCTAGCAAGGGGTGAGAGAATATTCTGGAACAGAGGCTGGGTGGGGGTGGGGCAGCCTATGGAGGAGGGAGGGGATGAGCCGGGAGAACGGCTCACCCTGATGGCCACAGCCTAACACATAAATAATCCAAGAGTCACATGAGGGGACTGAGGGGGCGCTCAGACCACCCTTCCCTCCAGCTTCCCAGTTCTTCCAGGCCGCAGGGGCATCACCCTGGAAGTAACAGGGAAGAGTGCTGCACAGGGGAGGAGGGGTCTCCGGGGCGGGGGGAGAGGGGCGAGAGCACAGCCCTCCCACCTCTGCCTGGCCTCTCAGTCGTTCTCGTCGGGCCCCAAGTACTCGAGTTCCGTGCTGGGTTTCACCTCCTGCTCTAAGAGGGAGGGCGTCCGGTGGAAGTTGGCCGAGATCTGGTCAAACGTCCGGCCTCGGGTTTCAGGCACTTTTAAGAAGGTGAAGATAAAGAAGCCAAGCAGGAGGATGGCGAACAGAAGGAAGACGTAGGGCCCCATAGCCTCCTGGGATAGGTGGAGAAAGACGTGTTGGCGGGCGGGGGTTGGGGTGGTCTCGGTGGAGCCGGGCAGGAAGGGCCCCGGCGGGTGGGGGGCTATGCAGACGCAGGTGGCTCCGTGGCGGGGCAAGGGAACCGACCAGGAACGAGTGAAGAAGAGATTCTCTGTGCCCCACCTCCCACAATGTCTCCCTCTCTCCCGTCCTGAGGGCAGTACGCCCGGCTCAGAGCGGATTCCAACCGGTGGTCCGCAGGAGGATCGCGCGCTGATCGTTTAACTCTAAGTCAGGCCCCAGCTGGCTCGGAAGACAGCTCTGCTGTTAGCCCAGGCCTTCAGCTCCCACGTGGCCCAGAGTGACCCCCGGACAGGAGCGGGGAAAGCAAGTGGGAGACGGGCATGGGCGCTTCAGAGCGGCCTGCGGGGGTGGGAGGCGGGGACGAGGCGCAGGGCACCTACCGCGACATACTGGAAACCCATGCCGATGACGAAGTTGCACGTCCAGTTGGAGAAGCCAGCCACGGCCATGGCCGCTGGGCGGGGGCCCTGGCTGAACAGCTCGGCCACGATGAACCAGGGGATGGGGCCCGGGCCGATCTCAAAGAACGCCACAAAGCCAAAGATGGCCACGATGGAGACGTAGCTCATGGCGGGAACGCGCTCCTGGCGCAGGCGGGGAGGGAAGGGAATTCAGGCGCGGCAGAGAAGTGAAGGCCGCCCCTCCCAGCAGCGCACGGAGGAGCCGCCACCCGCGGTCAGAGCAGGCCTCTGGGCGCACGGCGCGCTGCCCTATCGCTGCCCTACTCAGGGCCCCGGGGGCGTGAACGCCCCCTCGGCCGCTAGGATGGCCCACTCGCTCCCGCTTCCAAAGCTGGCTCCTGACGACCCACTGCTCCTGAGACTGGGCAGGGGCGGGGGCCCTCCTTCCTGGCTGCGGCCGTCGTCGTGCTGGAGCTTCCTCCCAGACTGGGAAACTGGTGCAGCCCGGGTCCCTTGGGATGGCGCGCGCGCGCGCACGCACACACATGCGCACATGCACGTGCGCACATACACACGCGCACACGCACGCGTGCACACATACACGTGCGCACATACACACGCACGCACGCGCGCGCACATACACGCGCACCGCACACACACGCACGCACATACACACGCGCACACGCACGCACATGCACACGCACACATGCACACGCGCGCGCACACGTACACATGCACGCACGTGCGCGCGCGCGCGCACATACACGCACGCACGCACATAAACGCGCACACGCACGCGCGCACACATACACATGCACGCACGCGCGCGCACATACACGCGCACCGCACACGCACGCACATACACACGCGCACACGCGCGCACATACACGTGCACACGCGCGCACATACGCACACGCGCGCACACACGCACGCACACATGCACACACGCACACATGCGCGCGCGCATACACGTGCACACGCACGCACATGCGCGCGCACATACGAGCGCGCGCGCAGGCTGGGCTCCCTCTCCCCCCCCCAGGCCTCACCAGCAGCAGCAGAGCTACAGTCATCAGGATGGCGCAGCCACACATTCCGGCCAGGCCCAGGAGGTGCAGCGTCCGGCGCCCAGCCCGCTCCACCAGGAACACCTGCAGGGAGAGTCAGGGCTCGGTGGAGGGCCTCCGGGCACAGGAGGTGGGGGGGGAGCTCCGGGGGGCGGTGCGGAAGCCAATGGGGGGCGCCAGCAGTTACCGAGACCAAGGTGAAGACGGTGTTGACCACACCGGCACCGATGGTGGCGTAGGCCGGCTGCCCGACCCCCGCCGTCTCGAAGATGCTGGTTGAATAATAGAACACCTACGAGGGGAGGAGAAGGAAAGGGGCTGCGGACCGACCCCGCACCGGACCACAGGGGGCTGGCTGCCGGCTCGCCTCCTCCTGAGCTGCTCCCTCACCCCTGCCCCGCCGAGGCTGCCGCCCACGTACAGCATTGATGCCGGACAGCTGCTGGCTCAGCTGCAGCACGACGGCGATGACCAGGGGCTGCCGGTGGGGGCGGCTGCCCAGGAGCTGGGGCAGGGACAGCGGCCGCTCCCGCTCCAGCTGCCGCTTCTCCTCCTTCAGCTCGGCCAGGGCGCCAGAGACGTCAGCCCAGCCGGTCAGGCGCTTCAGACCTGGAGGTGACGAGTGTCAGGCCTGAGCGGACGGGGGCGGACGGGGAGGGCCCCCCCTCCGCAGGTGCTGGCAAGGTGGGGGGGGTAGCTCACTCTTTCTGGCGGGCCCCTCCAGGTTCCGGATGATGTAGAGGTAGCGGGGGCTTTCTGGGCAGAAGGGCAGCAGGACCAGCTGCAGGAGGGCGGGCAGCACGGTGACGCCCAGGAGCACGGGCCAGAGGGCGGCAGTGCCCAGCATGGACTCCAAGCCCAGCACCTGTGGCAGCAGGGTGGGAAGGAAAGAGGGCCGGCCATTCAGCCCAGAGCCCCACTCAACCCGCCCGCCTAGCCACCCGGAAGGCCAGGCCCAGTCACCTGGGCGATCAGAATGCCTATGACGATGGCCAGCTGGTTGAGCGTCCCCAAGGCACCCCGCAGGTGAGTGGGGGCGATCTCCCCCACGTACATGGGCACCAGCCCTGATGTGAGCCCTGGGCAGAGGGAAGAAGAGAGGGCTGAGGGCAGCTGGTCACTCCCGCCCCCAAGCTCAGCGCTGGTGGAGGGCAGCGGGGCGCTGGGCAGGGCCATGGCACCCGAGGCAGGTACCTGAGTAGGCGCCAATGAGGAACCGCCCCAGAATGAGCATCTCGTAGGAGGCGGCCACGTTGGCCAGGCCCATGAGGGCGCCCCCCAGCATCGCCAGGACGTTGTTGACCAGCATTGCCTTCTTCCTGCCAGGCAAAGAGTGAGGTCGAGAGTTAGGGTGCCACGCGGCGGCCCCCTGCCTGCCTCCCCCCCAACCCTTGCCCACCAGCCCCATACCTTCCCAGCCACTGAGAGATGACACCGATGAGGAAGGAGGAGATCATGCCGCCCACAGAAAAGATGGCCACAGAGAGAGCCCAGAGGGTGGTGAGGGTGCTTGGTGGGATGGAGCTGGGTCCCTCAGGCCCCTGCCTCCCCAACCACGTCTCATTGTAGCTCTGTTCAATCACCTGGTGTGTGTGTCGGGGGGAGACAGTGGAGGAGTGACGGCCTGCAGAGACTTCCCCCTCGGCTCTCCCCTGCTGCCCCCTGCCCCCCACTCTGCCCACCACAGGCCCTTCACCTTCTGCGGGGCATTGATGACCCCAAGGTTGTAGCCAAACTGCAGGGAGCCCAGCACAGCCGAGAAGACAGCAAGGATCAGGGTGCCAGTGACTCTCTGTTGAGGAGGTTCCCCGTCCTGGGCAGGCAGAAGCAGAGAGGAGGCGGGTCACATGCAATCACGATTTCTTTCCTTCGTCCAGGGGCCCCGGGGCCCAGCTGAGCCTGAAGATGCTGGGTTCCATCCAACATGTTGGGTGAGGGAAACTGGGCCATATTAGGAATGGAGCAAGGAACTCAGTGTAAACAGGAGCAGGAAGAACCCACAGGAACTGGGCATGAAGGAGAAACTGGATGTTTGCGTCCAGCAAGCTGAGAAATGTTTGAGGATGTCGGCCTCACCATTTCTCCGTGACCTTGGGACAGGCTTGGCCTTAAGACTTGAGTTCAGATTTGTGTGACCTTGGGCAAGTCACTTCCCGGCTCTGAAGCCAGGTGTCCTCTGGGTTAGGGGAGAAAGGGGTGATGCGGCCTGCTTTGCCCACCTGGCCGTGCAAGGGAGAAAATCAAAACCAAATGCTATGGGGATTCCTGACGGCGCTGGATTTATAAACCGACAAGAGCCTTATCATCAGCCTCGGTCCCCTATCCTCCCCTCTGGGGGTGCTCTCAGCAGGCTCCCGGAGGCCCCAGCACGCTCAGGAAGGGCAATTCCAAAAAGGACGTCGCGGGCATTCCTCCCCGCATATGGCCCTCGGGACGGCCTTCTCTGTCTCCGCCCCGGCCTCCCCGCCCTAGCCTAGGCTCCGCCGCAGGGCAGGGCGGGGGGCCGTGCCCGGCCCCTACGTGGGCGAGCCGTGCCCGGGGAACGGGGGCGGGAAGGTGGTGCGAGGGGCGGTGGCCGCTTGTTGGCGGCACATACTGTCTCCAAGCGGAAACCTGAGCTGGGGGGGGGGGGGGCTGACATTCCCCTCAGCCCCTCCACCAACCGTGGGGCCAAGGGAAAGTTCAGCGTCCTGGAGGACGGCCAGGAGTGGGGGTGGCGGCCCACGAGAGCCTCCGCTCCTCGAAAAACTTCCCGCGAGCCGGGACACACGGGCAGCTCCAGGAGGGCAAGACTCGCCTGGACCTGCTTTCTCGGACTGGATCCGGGGCAGGGCGTCCCGCGATCCCGGCGCGCCCCGCCGCGCCCTGGAGAAGGGGGCGAACCCTGGACTCGGGAAACCCCGGGGTGGCCCGTGCCCCCGGACGGCACCCCCAGACCCATTCAGCCTCTTAGAAGGATGGGAATCCCACAGTCACGGGGTGGCCGGCCCGGGTATAAATAGCCAGGCCCCCACCTCCCCCACCCCCTGCGCCTGCGCAGGGACCGCCCCCTAGCTGACCCCAACCGCGACCCCAGCGGGAGAAGAGCGGGCCCTGTGCCCCCGTCCCGCCCCCGCATGCCGAACCCTACTTCCGAGCCGATCTGTTGGAAGCCCGACGGCATCTTGTCTTAGGAACCGGAGGCGCAGGAGCTGCAGTTCACAGGGAGGCGACTGGGGGTTAGCGGCCCCGGCCTGGCGGGCAGAGGGCGCGGTGGCGGCGGGCGTCCCGGGGCGACTTGCGGAGGGCGAGCCTGGCGGGACCCACCGCCGCGAGCCAAGGATCCAGAGAGCGGCAGGGCTCTCGGGGATCTGGCGGAGCCCGGCTTGGGGGAGAGACCCGAAGAGCCCCCCACGGGCCACGCCCTTCGCAGCACCCATTGGCCAGGAGCCCGCACACCCCAGAAGGCCACGCCCCTCCCTCAGCCTGGGGTTTCGAATTTGGCAGTGGGGAGCGGGCGGGCCGGCGAGGCCACGCCCCCCCAGCGTGCCCGGCGAGACGCGCCCAGAGGGTGCCCGCCCGCCTCCAGCCGCGAAGTTTGGGAAAAAGGGTCCCGGGACCCAGGAGGCCCCGCCCCACCTCGTGTGCGGACTCGGTCCCGCATCCCGGCTTGGGGCTGGGGAAGCACTGGAAAGCCGGGCGCCGCGGGTTGGGACCGCGGGGTCGGGGAGGAGGGGATGCGGCAGGTACGCTCGGCCCCGGAGACAACTCGGGCGGCCTGAGACCGCGCGCGAGCGGGCGCGCCGGGTGGCTGGGGAGCAATGGCCTGGAGTAACCCACCGCGCCTATTTTTAGCTCCCACGTTGGGAGACGCCAAATGTCAGGTCCCGGGTGTCCCGGCCTGTCCTGGGCGGGGGAGGGCAGGGAGATGGAGCCTTAAAGGCTCCGAGACACGCTTCCCACGCGGGGATGGCCCTGGGGCACAGGAAGTTCCGTTCCTAGCGCCCTGGGTGTCTGGGCTTGGTGGTCCTCCTTCCGTGCATCCGTGCTCCGGGCACTGCCCATGTGGCCCTTACCCTACACCCGTTCCCCACACTGGTTCCTGGATGCGGCCCGAGGGACAGCTGGTCACACCAACCACGCCACCAGCCTGAGGTCCCTGAGCTGCCACGAATGTGCTGGCCCCATGGACGACCTGGACACGCTCTCCGGAGGCCGCTCCGGGTCTGCAACCCCAGCGAGGAGGGCGCGACCTAAGAGATGGCGCGTGCGGGCCGGAGCGCAAGGCGCGGCGCCGCGAACGGGCCTCGGAAGCGCTGGGCTGTGGTGCCACCTGCAGGGAGAGCGAGGATCCGCAGCGGATCCGGGCGGAGTCGTCTCGGGCCCACCGGCCCTCGACGGTCCACCTCTGTCAGGCGTCCTTACATCCAACCCAGGCCTCGTTCTGGAGCTCCGGATCCGAGGATTCGGCGCCCGCCGGCACGGGGCAGCTCACATGATCCGCATGTCCAAACCTGCCCTTCCTCCTAACCTCCCCATCCCAGTGGATGGTCCCGTTGGCCCCCTGAGGATCCTGGAGGTCACGCTCGATTCCTGCCCTCTTTCACCCCCCACCCCCGCCGCGCCTTTACCCGGTTAGTTACCGACATTGGTGTGTTGACCTCCTCAACTCACATTCGTCTGATTTTCTCCCCCTGTACGGCTGACGCGTTGGTCCAGAACATCATTACCTCCTGCCTCTTACTTTCCTTGTGCGGGGGGCAGAGTTCAACGTAAAAAACGTTCAACTGCATCACTCCCTCCCCAAAAGTCGGTGGTTCTTTGTTGCCCCCACTGTCGAGGTCAGACCTCTTTTCAGAGCGAACAAAACCTCCTGCCTTTCTTGTCCCATTTCAGTCTCACCTTCTAGACTTTATCCTCACAGCCTAGTCAATGCCTAACCCCCCCCCCCCCACACACACACGCACAAGGTGCCTCCGCTGTCTGGAATGCCAGAGGACTCCTAGTCACCCTTCAGAAAATGCTCACCCCCTCTGTGAAACCTTTGTTGACTTCCTCCAGGAAAACAAAGAGAGCCACGTGTCCCCGGTGTAGCAGATTGTCACCATTTCTTCTCTGTACTTCAACCTTGAGAGGAGAAGCTCACCTTGTTTCCCTCTATGTCCCCAGCACCCAGCCTAGTGCTGGGCACTCAGCAAATGTTGAGTGAATGCAATGAGGGTCTGGTCCTTATAGCCAAGAGTGCAGGTTGGGGAGCAATCACGAAGGAGAGAGCTCTTGGCTGAATGGCTCCACCTGTCTGACTAAGGGGGTGCCGATGAAGAGCTAGGAGCTGAACGTTGAGAGGAGTCCCAAAGGAGCAGAAGACATTGACTGAGGCAGGGAAGGACCAATCAGGAAGATAAAGGGAGAACCAGAGCTGCTGGACTCCTACAAAGGCGGGGGCGGGGGAGGAGGGCAGAGAGAAGGGAAAAGCCAAGCAAGGTGCCTAGGAGCAAAGAGGGGGTACAGGAGGCACAGGAAGGGGGGGCAGATGAAAAGCCAGTGTAGCAGGTGAAGTTCAGGGCTGGGTTCCATCCAGGTGCATGCCTGCTCTCATTCAGGTGCTTTGTTTCTGACGCTTCTCAGTGATGCTTCTAGGGCTTTAAGCCCCAGGGAAAGTGGAATCACAGAAAGCAAGTCAGAGCTGGATATAGAAGATAGGATACTTTGAAGAGCCTGGAGAAAGTGATGGGGAAGTAGGAGAGGAGACGAGCGAGAAATCAGGAGAGCGGGAAGGGAGTAGGGGAAAGGGCCTGGAAGGTGGGAACGAGGTTGTTGATAGGAGATGGGATAGGAAGGAGAGGCACATGACATGGGGGGGGAGGGGAGGGACCTTGCATCGGAGATCCGAGGGTGTGTGTGGATCTTGCTGGGCGATCCTTGGCCCATTTGATAGAACCAGTCATAGCCCTTCCTCCACTCCGCCCTCTACCACGGGGTGTTAATCCCTGCAGGCTTGTTTTCCAAGCTCGTGACTACCGCCTTCTGGCTGGGTTCAGCCCATGGTAGGTAAGAGATTGGCGGGGGGCCCGAGAAAACCAGAGGACCCCCACAAACACACTGCCTCTAGCTTCTACTACACAGGCCCCCTTTGCCTCCAGCTTCTGGAAGGCAACCTTGCTTCCTGAGCTCTAGCGATGCTGGGCCCCTGTCTGTGCCTCCTCCACATTTTGTCTGTAGATCAGGGTCTCCGGTGCAGAGGACTGATTAACGACACGTGTTTATTGTGTTCATTGATCTATGCCTTATTTTTATCGTAAAAAGGATTCTCTTTTGGGGCGCCTGCCTGGCTCAGTCCGTGGAGTGTGCTACTCTTGATCTTGGGGTTGTGAGTTCAAGACCCACGTGGAACATAGAGCTTACTTTAAAAAAAAAAAAAAAAAACTGGGACGCCTGGGTGGCTCAGTCATTAAGTGCCTGCCTTCGGCTCAGGTCATGATCCCAGGGTCCTGGGATGGAGTCCCGCATTGGGCTCCTTGCTCGGCGGGGAACCTGCTTCTCCCTCTACCTGCCCTGCCTGCCACTGCTCCCTGCTTGTGATCTCTCTCTCTCTGACAAATAAATAAAATCTTTAAAAAAAACCCAAAAAAACAAACAAAAAAAACTATTTCTCATTTCCATACCCATTTCCCACTTGACCTCCCTCAAAAGGGAACCATTCCAATGCACTTAATGGGCTCTTGCAAAACATCATTTGCTTTTGGGCACCTGGGTGATTCCATCAGTGAAGCGTCTGACTCTTGATTTCAGCTCGGGTCACGATCTCAGGGTTCTAGGATCAAGTCCCACATGGGGCTCCCTGCTCAGCGGGAAGCCTGCTTCTCCCTCTCCTTCTGTCGCCTGCCCCCAACTCATGCTCCCTCGCGCTCTCTCTCTCCGTCTGCCCTCCCCCCTCTCAAATAAATAAATAAATCTTTTGAAAAAAAATCAGTTGTTTTGTGTGCAAACATTTCTTTTCTTTTTTTTTAAGATTTATTTATTTATTTGAGAGAGCGAGAATGAGAGAGAGTACATGAGAGGGGGGAGGGTCAGAGGGAGAAGCAGGCTCCCCGCAGAGCAGGGAGCCCGATGCGGGACTCGATCCCGGGACTCCAGGATCATGACCTGAGCCGAAGGCAGTTGCTAAACCAACTGAGCCACCCAGGCGCCCCGTGTGCAAACATTTCTAATTTATGTAAATAGTGTCATATATTTCATTCTGGTCCTACTTATTGTCAGTAAACACTCTGTTTTTAAACCTTATTCGTGCTTTGTCATGATCAGATTTGTTGCACGGGGTGGGTGGGGGGGCACCTGGGTGGCTCTGTCCTTAAGCGTCTGCCTTTAGCTCAGGTCATGATCTCAGGGTCCTGGGATTGAGCCCCACATCGGGCTCCCTGCTCAGCCGGAAGCCTGCTTCTCCCTCTCCCCCACTTGTGTTCCCTCTCTCGATGTCTAGCTCTCTCCGTCAAATAAATAATAAAATCTTAAAAAAAAAAAAAAAAGATTTGTTGCCCAGTACCCCACAGTATCGCTCAAACCACGTTTTGCTCGCAATCCCACTGGGTGAGCACCCACATCACCTGCAGTCCCCGGGGGCGATGCGGAACGTGGCAATGCACATTTCATACGAGGTGTGTTACCGGCTCCTACGAGAACTTCTTTGGGAGATACATCTCTGCCTGATATTATTTCTATCGATCCCCAGAAGCGGAATTTCTGAGTCACAGGGCATACTTACACTGAATTTGACTCAGTACTACCAGCTTGCTCTGCAGAACGACTGTCCCCGTCTCCTGGTCCACCAGCAGCGTGACACGGTTCTTCTACCTCGGCAGACTCCCAGCGACTGTGACGGGGACGGACTCCAGGCTCACACTGTTCTGATACTTACTAATGCTGTGCCCTTTGGGAAAGTTACCTAAACCCTCTGTGCCTTCTTTACCTCCCCGGTAAAATGAGAAGGTGAATAATGTAACACTCAGACAGTGCTTACAGGAGATTGAAGCGAATACTTTTTTTGTTTTGTTTGCGTTTTTTTAAACAGCTTTATTGACAAACAATAAACTGAGCATATTTCACATGCACAATTTGGTAAGTTTTGACAGATGTATACACCCATGAAACTGTCCCAGTCATCAAGCGAATGAACATATCCATCATCCCCCAGTTTCCTTGTACCTCTTTGTAACCCCTCCCTACCGCCCTTCCACCCACACCCTAGGCAACCAGTGCTGTCTGTCATCATAGAGCATTTTGCATTTTCTGGAATTTTATGCAAATGGAAACATACAGAATGTACTCTTTTTTTTTTAAGATTTATTTATTTATTTTAGAGAGAGAGCGAGAGAGCACCTGCGAACACAAGCAGGGGGAGGGGCAGAAGGGAAGAGAGAAACCCAAGCAGACTCCCCGCCGAAGGTGGAGCCTGACGTGGGACTCAGTCCCATGACCCTGAGATCATGATCCAAGCCGAAACCAAGAGTGGGCTGCTCAACCCACTGAGCCACCCAGGCACCCCCAGCATGGGCTCTTTTTGTCTTTTTTCACTTTACGTAACTCATCTATGTTGTTGTGTGTATCAAGAGTTCATTCCTTTTTACTGTTGAAAATTATTGATTTATCAATGGTGATCAGTTTGATTACCCATTCACCTGTTGATGGGCATTTGGATTATTTCCAGTTCTAGGCTATTATGAATAACACTGCCTGGAACATTCATGCACAAGTCTTTGTATGGATGCTGTGCTTTCATTTCTCTTGGAAAATACCTAGGAGTAGACAGCTGGATTATATTACAGATGGGTCTGTAACTTTGTATGAAATTGTTTTCCTAAGTGGTTGTACCATTTTACATTCCCATCAGCAGTGTATGAGACTTGAGTTTCTCCACACCCTTACTAACACTCAGCATGGTCAGCCTTTTAAAATCTGGAATGTGGGCGCCTGGGTGGCTCAGTTGGTTGGGCGACTGCCTTCGGCTCAGGTCATGATCCTGGAGTCCCGGGATCGAGTCCCGCATTGGGCTCCCTGCTCGGCAGGGAGTCTGCTTCTCCCTCTGACCCTATCCCCTCTCATGCTGTTTCTCTCTCTCTCTCTCAAATAAATAAATAAGTAAAATCTTAAAAAAAATAATAAAATAAAATCTGGAATGTGGCACCTGGGTGGCTCAGTTGGTTAAGTGTCTGACTCTTGATTTTGGCTGGGGTCATGATATCAAGCCCCGCGTCGGGCTCTGTGCTCAGCTTGGAGCCTGCCTAAGATTCTCTCCCTCTCCCTGTAGTCCCCACCACTCATATGCTCTCTCTCTCTCTCAAAAAATAAAATAAATAAAATAAAAAATAAAGTGAAATCTGGAATGGAGTATATGAGATTTTAATCCAATAAATGAAAACTTATTTGGATTTCTAATATTTGTCAGTTCAATAGATGAAAGATGTATCTTAATGCAGTTTTGTCTGATTACTCATGGCTTGGAAAATCTCTTAAAACACTTGAAACACTGGCTTTCTTCTCTTGTAAATTCCCTCCTTGTATTCTCTGCTTGTTTTCTCTTGGAGCGTTTTTCTTGTTCACTGGCAAGACGTTTTTTTAAAAAATGACATCAGTTCAGGGGCGCCTGGGTGGCTCAGTCGTTAAGCGTCTGCCTTCAGCTCGGGTCATGATCCTGGAGTCCCGGGATCGAGCCCCGTATCGGGCTCCCTGCTCCGCGGGAAGCCTGCTTCTCCCTCTCCCACTCTCCCTGCTTGTGTTCCCTCTCTCGCTGTGTCTCTCTCTGTCAAATAAATAAATAAAATCTTAAAAAAAAAATAAAAAATAAAAAATAAATAGATAAAAAATGACATCAGTTCTTTGTCAGATTTGGACATTGCAAATACTTTCTCTCATTCTATCATCTGTCAGCATCTATCACCATTAATTATTCCTTGGTGAACTTGATTGAATAGAAATCCTTAATTTTGGTGTAGTCAAAATAATAGATTTTCCCCTTTGTGGTTTATGATTTTGAGAAGTTACGTATGTTCTCTTCCATCTCTATACCACAAAACTATTCTTTTGCATTTTATTCCAATAACTCTGTGGTTTTATTCTTCACATTCAGGTTATTTATTTATTTATTTTTAAGTAATCTCTACGCCCCACATGGGGCTTGAACTCACGACCCCAAGATCAAGATCAGGAGTCCCATGCTCTACCGACTGAGCCAGGCAGGTGCCCCCATATGTGGGACTTTTTTTTTTTTTTAAGATTTTATTTATTTATTTGACAGAGAGAGACACAGTGAGAGAGGGAACAGAAGCAGGGGGAGCGGGAGAGGGAGAAGCAGGCTCCCCACCGAGCAGGGAGCCCGATGCGGGGCTCGATCCCAGGACCCTGGGATCATGACCTGAGCCCAAGGCAGACATTTAACGCCTGAGCCACCCAGGTGCCCCATATATGTGGGACTTTTAAAACCTTCTGGACTGCTTCCTTGTTTGGGGTGTTAGGGATCCAATTTATTTTCCTCTTATTGAGCCGCACTTACCACAAATTCTGATAAAGTGTCTGTCTCTGAGCTCCTACTCTGTTCCATTAGTGTTTCCCCCCATTCTTTTTTTTTTCTTTAAAGATTTTATTTATTTATTTGACAGAGAGAGACACAGCGAGAGAGGGAACACAAGCAGGGGGAGTGGGAGAGGGAGAAGCAGGCTTCCCGCCGAGCAGGGAGCCCGATGCGGGGCTCGATCCCAGGACCCCGGGATCATGACCTGAGCTGAAGGCAGACGCTTAACCATCTGAGCCACCCAGGCGCCCCGAAAGAGTTCTTTTTTTTTTTTAATTTTATCCCCCCCATTCTTGAATGAATACCACAGTGTTATTGTTGCTGTTTTTCATGATGCTTTGTAGCAAGTTTAAATTTCTGGAAGCCCAAGACCCCTCTTGTGACTCTTCCTTTTCAATGTTGATTTACCATTTGTGGGCTTTTATTGCTCCATACAAATTTGAGGGTAAAGTTATCGAGATATTTTTTAAAAATTGGATTTGTGGGGCACTTGGGTGGCTCAGTTGGTTAAGCATCTGGCTCTTGATCTCACTCAGGTCTTGATCTCACGGTCATGAGTTCAAGCCCCGTGTCAGGCTCCATGCTGGGCGTGGAGCCTACTTAAAAAAAAAAAAAAAGCTGGATTTGTATTGGTAATATATAAAATTATAGATTATTCTGGAGATAACTGATACCTTTATAATATCATCCCACTTAAGAGAATGGACTGTGGGGCGCCTGGGTGGCTCAGTTGGTTAAGCGGCTGCCTTTGGCACAGGGCATGATCCTGGGGTCCTGGAATCGAGCCCCGCATCGGGCTCCCTGCTCTGTGGGAAGCCTGCTTCTCCCTCTCCCACTCCCACTGCTTGTGTTCCCTCTCTCGCTGTGTCTCTGTCAAATAAATAAAATCTTTGAAAAAAACATAAAATAAATGAGCCTAATACTTCTTCATTAGGTGTAAGCATTTCCTTTCTAATCTTTGTTTGCTAAAGGTTCTTATCATAAGTAGGTGTTGAACCTTATCAAATGCTTTTTAAAATTATCAGTTGAGATAACCATATAATTTTTTTTAAAGATTTTATTTATTTATTTGAGAGAGAGAATGAGATAGAGAGAGCACATGAGAGGGGGGAGGGTCAGAGGGAGAAGCAGACCCCCTGCCGAGCAAGGAGCCTGATATGGGACTCGATCCCGGGACTCCAGGATCATGACCTGAGCCGAAGGCAGTAGCTTAACCAACTGAGCCACCCAGGCGCCCGAGATAACCATATAATTTTATTTCTTTGGTCAATTAATGTGGTGGATTAAAATGGAGGGATTTTCTTTTCTTTTGTTTAAAGATTCCGCTTATTTATTTTTGCGAGAGAGACAGAGAGAGAGTACAAGCAGGGGGAGGGGCAGAGGGAGAAGCGGACTCCCCGCTGAGCAGGGAGCCCTACGTGGGACTTGATCCCAGGACGCCGAGATCATGACCTGAGCTGAAGGCAGCCGCTTAACTGACTGAGCCACCCAGGCGCCCAAAATGGATGGATTTTCTAATCCTGAAGCACTTGCGTTCCTGGGAGAACCTGTCCTTGTTTGTGATGACACTTTATTATTATTTTTTTAAGTTTTGTTTATTTAAGTAATCTCTACACACAATATGGAACTCGAACTCACAACCCTGAGATCAAGAGTCACATGCTCTATTGACTAAGCCAGCCAGGCACCCCAGTGTTTCTCTTATATTATCCTTAATTGACTGCAGAGGCAAGATTACCCTAGCCTTATAACGTGAGCTGCTCACCTTTTCACTCCTTCTCCAGATCTGTATCTCAAACATGCCCTCCGGGCTGAACCATAGCAGATCATCTGGCCCACCTTCCTCTTTCCTAAATGTCAAAATATTATCGCTCATATTTTGCAGATGAGACAGACTGAGACCCAAGAGTAAATTCCCGAATGAGATGGAGTTGAAACCTGCAATATTTTATCTGCCTTGGGTCTACAACCTCTAGGTCTGATCAGTAAAATAATAATCAGCGACCAGTATAATAATTAGTTCTTGAGTAACAATGGATACTATTAAAATAATATCGCAAGTTTCCAAAGTTCACTTATTTATCAGTTTTTCAGAGCTAGAACACATTTTCCCATAGAAACAAACAAGTAGGTTGGTTTCCCATGCCAGATTCCTTCCCTTGTCCCTTTACCCCTCACCCCCATGCTGTGGTGTATATCCCCTCAACTAACCCAGTCTTCCAGCCAGACCTAGTCTTTCAAACTCTTCTTCTACGCCAAGGTACTTCTCTGAAGGCTCCTTTCCTAGACCTTACTGAAACCCGGCTGTCTTGGAGGACACACTTCCCCAGGAGGTCTCTTAATAGAAGCTGATTTTTGGTCTTATTTCACATGCTTCAGGGTCCGGAGCGGGGGGTATTGCGCTCCCCCGCCCCCCTCGCCCAGTCTAGACCATGATTCTTCCTTCCTCCTTCAAAATCCTCTGCTCCTTTGAAGTTCATGTCTGGAAGTGCATCACCCACCACCTCTAATTGTTGCTAGGGTCTTGCTGCTTGGCCTCTCACCCGCATTCACTGATAACTTTACCACCTGGCTCATCATCTTCCCCATCTTCTCTTCCCATCATCACTGTTGTCGACTTCAACATCTGTCAGGCTCCATGACCTGCGCCAAAGGCAGATGTTTGGGGTGCCTGGGTGGCTCAGTCGTTAAGCGTCTGCCTTCGGCTCAGGTCATGATCCCAGGGTCCTGGGATCGAGCCCCACATCGGGCTCCCTGCTCGGTGGGAAGCCTGCTTCTCCCTCTCCCACTCCCCCTCCTTGTGTTCCCTCTCTCGCTGTGTCTCTCTGTCAAATAAATGGATAAAATCTTTAAAAAAAAAAAAAAAGTGCAGTGTTCTCATCTGTCCTGTTACAGCCGTCTCAAGCGTCGAGCATGGGGCCTGGTACGTTACCTAGGCACGCAGGAAATATCTGTTGAACAAGTGAATGAAAATATTGTTTATTTGTAGTTTCTTCACGGGTTCATCAAATATTTATTGGCGATAAACCAGGACGCATCTACAGTGGGAGCCTGACATTGAATAAATAATCACGCAGAGTAAATAGTTTGAAACTCTGATAAGAACTTTGCAAGTTAAAGCTCAAGTAGCGGTGAGTGAGCATTCAGCCGGTGATATGACTCAGTGTAGGGTGGGGTGGTCAGGCCAGGCTTCCCAGGAAAGGTGATATTTGAGCTGGTCACCGAGGGACCAGTGGGTTAGCCGGGTAGAGGATGGCGGGTGGCGGTGCATGGAGGACAGCATCCAGGCGTGGGGAACAGAGTGTGTGAAGGGCATCTGGTGGAGCAGAGAGAAGGCCAGTGGGGCCGAGGCATAGTTCGGTAAGTCACAATATGGCATCTATTTGCCAAATCCAGTGGAACAAGAGAAGAGGTGTGACATTGGAAGATTTTAAGGATTTTATTTTATTTTTTTCTAAGATTTTATTTATTTGAGAGAGACAGAGCGAGAGAGCACAAGCAGGGGGAGTGGGAGAGGGAGAAGCAGGCCCCCCCGCCGAGCAGGGAGCCCGATGTGGGACTCGATCCCAGGACCCCGGGATCATGACCTGAGCCCAAGGCAGACGCTTAACCGACTGAGCCACCCAGGCGCCCCTGGAAGATTTTAAGGAGTTTAAACAGAAAGTAACAAGACCTAAGCTTGAAACAAACAAACAAGAGTTGACTTCCGGAGAACGGATTTTAAAAGGGACAAGCAGGGAAGCAGGGATGTGGGTTTGGAGGCAGGTGTGTGCAGGCAGAGGAAGTGCTGGTGGGTCGGCCTGAGTAGTGGCAATGAGCTTGGAGACAAGCTGGATAGACTGCAGTAATGAGAAACATAAAATTTTGGAGCTGGAAAGCACCTTAAAACAACAAAAAAACCCAACTCACCATTAATAAAAAAAAATAGAAAAATAAAAACAAATAACAGATAATCCTTTAAAGTCTCATTAAAAGAGCAGGGTAATTAGCTTAGTACCAGGGCCCTTTAATATTTTTGCTGCATAAAAGGAGAGGCTTACAGAGAAACGGTTGAGAGGGGGCAGAAAAGTGAGAAATGGGAGAGAGTTGGGGGGAAAAGGAGAGAGAAATGGAGAGGAAGATGGGAAGGTGTGAGTCGGAGAGTGTAGGAGAGGTGGGTCGGAAGGACTGTGGGCAAGGGGACACGGATATGATGCCGCTGGGCTCCCGGGGCAGAGAAGGGGCTGGAAGGTAGACTCAGAGGGAGGGGAGTGCAATGGGATGTGGAAAAGGCAGGAAGGGGAGAAGACACAAGGTGAGGGAGGGATGAGTGAATGGAGACGCTTGGAAGAGATGTGCACGGGGAGTCCCGGGCAACAGTCTGGGCAGAGTGAGAGCAGAAGCCCAAGGGCCACGTGGGAGTCTGAGGGCTGAACCCAAGGCCACCCAGGAGGGGACGTTAGGGAGGACAGCACACAGAGTCAGGTCCAGGTTCAGGAAGGAAAGGGAAATGTGTGCATGGCTGGAGGGACGGGGAAGTGAGAAAGTGGAGGACAGGTCTGGAAAGATTCCAGGGGAGGGGAATGAAGGGTGTGGCCAAGAATCTGACCGAGGCCTTACCCTGCTCCCCACCCTCTGCTGACTTCTGGCCTCAGTGTTTTCGTCCCTTTGCTAGGAAGGAGGCTTGAGGCAGGGGGGGATAGTGATGGCCGGGAGGTGGGACACCAAGGGCCCAGGCATTAGGTTATGGCAGGGATAGGGACTGGAATGGAGAGCCAAGAAGGTGGGGGTGTTGGGGCACGATGCCTGGAAGCCGGCTCGCAGGTGGAGGGCAGTATAGGAGTGGGAAGCGACAGAGGCCGCAGGACCGTGGTTCTGGGAATGGAGACTCCAAGGAGGCTGCTAAGTGCGGGAGTTCTGAGGGATCGGAGCTAGGGTTCCTGAAGCTGGGGACGGTTAGGATAGTCAACTGGGGGCGGGGGGAACACGAGCAGAGGGTGGGGGCGAAAGTAGGGCGGGACAAAGAGCGCCTGGAGTAGAAACCAAGAGTCCCTGCGGGTGGGAGGGTGGGGAGGCGGAGACAAGGGGCCCGGGGCGTCCCCCGAGCCCTGGTTCCGCAGTATCCCAGGCGCACCTGCTGGGGAGAGGTGAGGGGGCACCCTGTGCCTGAGGGAAGTCCAGTCTAGAGGGGCCGACTCTGAGCTTGGAACTCCGGAGAAGCTTCCACCTCCTCCCCACCTGCAGTCCCAGCCGGGCAGGAGAAGGGGTGTGACCCTGACGCTCAGGTTTCTTCCTCTTCACCTGGGCCAGGACTTCCGGCTCAGGTGAGTGTCCCTTCGGTGACGTCAGGTCACTCTCGGCCGCCCCTCGGGTCCGGCCCGCCCCGCGCTCCCGGGGCCCGCGGGGGCGCGCCCCTGACGCCCTACAAATACTCAGGTGCGCCGCACCTGTCTGCCCGCATCTGCCCGCTCACGGCTGAGCAACGTCTCTCGCTCGGCAGCCTCGGGCCGACAGCCCAGGGTACTTTGGGGACCCTCAGCCCCCAGGACCGCGCGCGTATACTGCCCCTCCGCCTTTTGTTTGGCTAGGGTCGCCGGGAGCGCCGGAGGGGACCGCCTTGTCTTCGCCGATCGCTTCTTCGACCACCAGTCCTCGGGCGGCACCTGTTCCTTGAGCTGTGAAGACCCTTGACCCGCCGGACGGATCGATTTGTGTTTTCTTCGGGGGACAAAAAGATTTGGAATCACCTGACCCAAAAACTTCTCTTTGGGTGACTTTAAGACGCCACTGCAAGTTTTTTTTTGAGGGGCTGACCTCCCCAAGCTTTGCTTTACCGCAGGGTCGCCCGCCCGGCGTCCCCAATCTTTTCCGAGGGCAGACATGGCCAATTCGGGCCTGCAGCTGCTGGGCTTCGCCATGGCCCTGCTGGGCTGGGTGGCCCTGGTGGCGTGCACCGCCATCCCGCAGTGGCAGATGAGCTCGTACGCGGGCGACAACATCATCACGGCCCAGGCCATGTACAAGGGGCTCTGGATGGACTGCATCATGCAGAGCACGGGCCTGATGAGCTGCAAGTCGTACGACTCGGTGCTCGCGCTGTCGGGTAAGGCCGCGGGGTCGACGGGGCGGACGCGCCCGGGCTGAGGGCTGAGGGCGGGGAGCGGGGCAGGGCGCCGGGCCCCACCGCCCGACGCCCGGGGTTGCCGGGGAGCAGGCGGGGCGGAGGAAGCGGAAGCGGCCGGGCAGGGGCACGGGGAGGGCCGCGGGCCGGGTTCCAGCGGCCGCACGTCGGCCCGCGCCCCGGCCGGCTGGGCTCCCTTCCCCCCCCACCGCCGCCGCCGCGCCCGGCGGCCCAACCCCCTCCAGCGCTCTCCTCCCCCCGCCGGGGCGCGCAGGTGGCGGCCTCCGACTCCCGCCCTTTCTCCCGGACAAAAGGCGGCGCGGGCGGAGGGTGGGGGTCGGCCGAGGAGCCATGCGCTCCGTCAGACGTGGGCCGCGGGCTGTGGCCTGTAATCTTTTTTTTTTTTTTAAGATTTTATTTATTTATTTGAGAGAGAGCATGAGAGTGGGGAGGGTCAGAGGGAGAAGCAGACTCCCCGCCGAGCAGGGAGCCCGATGCGGGACTCGATCCCGGGACTCCAGGATCACGACCTGAGCCCAAGGCAGTCGCCTAACCAACTGAGCCACCCAGGCGCCCCTGCGGCCTGTAATCTTATCGGCCGATTAGCCGAAGCCACAAACCCGGTGGCCACGATAGCGGGGTCAGCGCTGGGCCGTGGGCCGGGCCGTGCGGCCCAGCGCGGGCACTCCGGCCCCCTTACCCTCCTCCCCCGGGCAGTTTCATCGAAACCCTTGCGCCCCGGGCGGGTCTCAGGGCCGAGAGAGGGCGGGGCGGGAAGGCCGCGGAGCCGGGAGGGGCGGGATCCACCCGCTGCGGCCGGGACTTGGGCGCCCAAGGGGCCCCGGGCCAGCGGCCGACGGCGACTCGAAGGCCGGAGCCGTCCGCACGTCCAGCAATGAGGGCGTCCTTCCCCCTTCCCCGCAGCGGCCCTGCAGGCCACCCGAGCCCTGATGGTGGTATCCCTGGTGCTGGGCTTCCTGGCCATGTTCGTGGCCACCACGGGCATGAAGTGCACAAACTGCGGGGGCGACGACAAGGTGAAGAAGGCCCGGATAGCCATGACCGGAGGCTTCATTTTCATCGTGTCAGGTGAGCCCTCCCCCTGCGTCTGGGAGTGAAGGTGTGCAAGGTGCTGGTTTGGGGGTCTCCTAATACATCTTAACCATCCTGTCTCCAGGTCTTGCTGCCTTGGTAGCTTGTTCCTGGTACGGCCACCAGATTGTCACAGACTTTTATAGCGCACTGGTCCCCATGAATCTTAAGTAAGTACGGGAGCCCTGCCTCCTAAGGGGACGCCAGGTCTGGATTCCTGGCGTCAGGAACGGCAGGGTTTCTGACCCCAACCCTCTCTCCCCATAGGTACGAGTTTGGTCCTGCCATCTTCGTTGGCTGGGCAGGGTCTGCTCTGGTCATCCTGGGAGGTGCCCTGCTCTCTTGCTCCTGTCCTGGGAGTGAGGGCAAAACCGGGTACCGTGCACCCCGCTCCTACCCTAAGCCCAACTCTGCCAAGGAGTATGTGTGAGCTGGGACCCCCCTGCCCCAGCCTGGCAGCCTCTGGTGTGGTTAGGTACCTGAAATGACCTGGGGCAGATCTTAGCCGGTGGGCGGGCTGTGGGGCAGAAGCCTCGTCACCCCAGCCAGGTGTACCATGTACAGTTCCCCCGGGGTGGGGGTGGGGGTGGGGGGAGGGGAGGAGGGGTGAGGGAGACAAAAGAGGGGGATTGGATGTGCTTTTTGTACAGTAATAAAAAAGTATGTTTTGGAAAAAAGTAGGCTTCTTTTTTTCCCCTTCAGGGCCTTTGCTTTGTTCCAACCCAAATCCCTGCAGGGAACCTGGAACCTTTAAATGCACCTGCTTCGGCTTGAAACAGAGCATGTATTGAGCACCAATGGTGTGCAAGGCTCCCCCTGTGCCACCATTCCTTGTCATTCAGGCCCCAACTCTGACCACTGACTCTTAACAGACTCAAGTGCCTGGTTTCCCTACCTCTTCCCCTTCTTCAGTCCCTTCTGCTGCCAACTCTTGCTTAGCTACCCCAGTTCCTTTCCGTAGAAAAGTAAAGACTTTATTAGGCACCTTGCCCTAATGACCCTTTCCCACATTCTGTCCAGATGGGAAGCTACTCTGACTCAGAGGTCTTGGGGCAGGGCCTCTGCAGACCCGAGAACAAAGGTGGGGGCAGGGACAGGGCAAGGCCAATGCAAACAATGGGAGGATGGTTATGGGTCCAAGGTCTTTCTCCTCCCTTCCAATTCCAGGCCAGTCAAACATCCAGGTCATCATCTGGGTCGTCTTGGTCCAGGTCATCATATGCATCTGGCTCATAGAAGATGTGGCTGGTGGCCTGGCCAGGCCCAGGACGCAGTAGAGCCTGCTGTCTGAGAAGGGAGAAGGGGAGAGTTGGTGCTGGGGGGCGGGGAGGGGAGGAATCATGTGTGCTGCATACTCTTTCTTCTTGGTCCGAGTCTCTTTCTCTGACCTCCCTGTTTAGTTGGTATGCAAGCACCACTTGGTACTGGAATAGAAACGCTTAGAACTGCTCTCCTAATGACACCTCACGTTCTTAGCAGCTTGAGGGCAAGGATCCTGCCACAGTCTTGCTTCACCCACCCACACACTGGGCAGAGAACAACAGGCATATACTGAAGCCGTTATTAACCTGCCCGCCACACCCATCTAGCTTCCTGGCCTCCCAGCACTGTTGCCTAGAGATTGGTAGGGCCACTTCCCCAGGGTATGGGCTGGCTCAGCCGGGACCCAGATTGCTCTGTGACCCAAGGCTCTACTGGAGAGAAAAGAGACATAAAGAATCTTTTGCCTTGTTGGGAGAATGAGTGGATAGAGAACCACTCCCCAGACTTGTCTTTGGAGGCAGACTTCAGCCCCTATAAAGTCTGGGAGGTTAACCAATAACCTGCTATCACTCCCATCCCAGGCCCAGACGCTGGGCTCTACTCAAGAACCCAGGCACCTCACCCCCAACCTTACTTTTCAGAGCTGAACTGGAAGGGCAGCGTCAGGCTGTCTTTGGCTTCTCTCTCTTTCTTGGACAGGTGAAGGTTAAAGGTCACATGAGCTGTGGGGTCCACCTGAAGGTACAAAGGATGCTGCCCCTTTGCCTCATGGCTGGAATCCCCGACCCCACCCTCCATTCCCTTGTTCTGGCACCGGCACCCTTAGATACCGGGGGGGTGTGAGGATCTGGGTGGGGCTGGGACTCTAGCGGGGGTCCCCCCTGGAGATCCAGGCTGAAGTCGGGCAGGATGGAAAACCACTGAGTCTGCGGAGAAGAAAGAGTAAGAACAGAAAGGTGTTTTCCATCTTACAGAGCAAACCAGGGAGAACTCGGACCGAACCGCCCTGGCCCCCGGGGCAACTACGGAATGGGCCGCCTGCAGCTCCTGCTCCTCCCTCCTCAGCTCTTCCTCAAACGTCTCCATCAGGACCCGTTCCTTCTCCCCCAGGAACCGCTCCCAGGCTTTTGTCCTTTGCCATTTCTTGGAAGATGACACCTCCTCCCACTTAAGCTCACGGGATCCAAGTCAGGCAATCTTGAGTTCAAATCCTGGCTCTACCACTCACTCTCCGGAACCCTGGGTAACCTTCCCCAAGCCGCTCAATGGGGATAATGAAACCATCCACCTCACGGGGTAGCCGTGAAGATTCAGTGAGGGAAATGACGACACACGGGGAAGCGTTCCCTCACATCAGCTCTCTTACTCCCCTTCTTACTTGCGCTCGACCTCCCATGCTTCCCTGGGGGGGTTCTCCTGACCTGATGGGCTGGGCGCTGTCGGGGCCTCCGAGAGAGGATGTGGGCCGAAGCCTGGCCCATTGCCCCGCTCAGGGTCACTTCGGTCTGGGCCAGGCTGCTCAGGGCTCCCAGGGGGCCTGGGCCATGGAGCTCTTCATGCAGCAGGCCTAGCACTCGCACAGGCTCGGCCAGGCAGCTGCCACCTGGAGGGACAAGGAGGGTGGGGCACACTCAGGATGGAGGCCTGGGCTTGAAGAGCAGAGGAGGAGCACGCGAGGTGAGGCCACATTCCATCACGGGCTCTGCTGGTCCTGACCTCCCTCGGCTGGTCTGACAGCTCTGGAGCCTGCTTCGGCCCTCACCTCGTTACTGTGAATCTGAACACGGTCCAGTCGGACTTCAGTCCTCAGGAGCTCCTTCCTCACTGCCCAACAGATGGAATCAACCCCTTCCTCATCTGCTCTCCGCCTAGTTTCCAGCTTCGTCTCTTACACGCTGAACTCCTTGCAGGTTTGGGACCTTTACACTGTGATCCCACTCAATGCCTTTGGTTCCCTCAACTTTCCCTCTCCCTTTCTGGGCGTATTGACAAGGCGTTAGGCACTGCACCAAATCCTTTCACGTTTCAGTCCTTACGAAGGCCAGCATTTTTAGGCCGAACCACATGAAATTGCTGTTACTTGACACGTATGTGTATCTGACCTACCAAAACAGGATTCTAAATGGTTCATCCTACCGTTATCCATTCACCCCACTCCCCCCCTTCCTGCTTGTATAGAGTAAACCGAAATACTGAGAGATCAAACACCTGAACACAAAGCTGGGTGTCTGATTCCAGAGTCCACTGTAGCACCCACAGCACACTTCAGGGCTAGTCCCAGGGCCCCTGGTCTGCCCAAATGTGCCTAGCAAACTCCGCTTAAGGCGCTCTGTGCCTGTTCCTTTATTACTACTACTGTTATCAGACTACCTTGTAATTGCTTATTTATCTGTGTCCTTTACGGGACTTTGAACAAAAATCTGACTAGAATTAGTCTTTACCTTCCCATCATCTAGAATTGTGCCTGACACATTGCACAATTCTTAGCCGTTGAGTGCACGAATGAAACCAACAAGTAAGAATGAACTTGGAAAAGAAACAATAAAGTGACTAATAGATGACATCATGGAAAAGTCAAGAATGAGAATAAACGTTAAAGATATGGAATAAGGCACAACTGGAGATCTCTAGTATGTTTTTTCTTAGGCTGGAAAGGGGCTTGTTCCTTGGCAGGGGAAAGCGTATGAGAAGAACAAAGGGAAGTGTCACCAGGGCGGGAGTGTTGATGGCTCAAGGCACAGAGCGCCTGGCAGAGGGCAGTACAGGGAAGGTGCAGCAGCAGCCAGCTCAGTGAATCGAGAGCGATGGTGAAAGGACCAGGATCTGTCCTCCTGCACATGGCTTGCAAGGCTCCCAGGGGTCCCCCTGGAAGGGCTTCCCCAGTCTGTGACCAGCTGAGAGGATCTCTGAAGAGGTCATGGTAAATCAGCCTGCAAAGAGAAAACGGGAGACAACTTAACACTGCCCCCTCTCCTCAATCTTGAACTTTACCCTGTGATCTCTGGGGCTCTATTCTTCTTTTTTTTTTTAATTTTTTTTAAAGATTTTATTTATTTATTTGACAGATAGAGAGCACAAGTAGGCAGAGAGGCAGAGGGAGAAGCAGACTCCCCGCTGAGCAGGGAGCCCGACGTGGGGCTCGATCCCAGGACTCCAGGATCATGACCTGAGCCGAAGGCAGACGCCCAACGACTGAGCCACCCAGGGGCCCAAAGATTTTACCTTTTTTTTAATTTAAAGATTTTATTTATTTATTTGACGGAGAGAGATACAGCGAGAGAGGGAACACAAGCAGGGGGAGTGGGAGAGGGAGAAGCAGGCTTCCCGCTGAGCAGGGAGCCCAACGCGGGGCTCGATCCCAGGACTCCAGGATCATGACCTGAGCCGAAGGCAGCCGCTTAACCGACTGAGCCACCCAGGTGCCCCTGGAGCTCTATTCTTCTCATTTAATATACTAAACATTAGTGAAAGGTAATACTGAGAGATGGAATATAGTGACTGAAAACACAGACTTTGGTGTCAGAAAGCCCTGAGCTCCAAGCTTGGCTTTACTACTTACCCAAGGTCACCTAACTGGTAAATTACTTAATCTAAGACTCAGTTTCTTTAATTGTAGCATAGGAATACCAACTGCTTGATCTTTAAAACAACTACCCATCTATCTGCTCAGCCCTAACTTTGTATCAGAGCTTGCGATAGGGTATGTTAAGATGGCATTTATAAGAGAAACAAAAGAGGGCGCCTGGGTGGCTCAGTAGGTTGGGCGACTGCCTTCGGCTCAGGTCATGATCCTGGAGTCCCGGGATCGAGTCCCACATCGGGCTCCCTGCTCGGCGGGGAGTCTGCTTCTCCCTCTGACCCTCCCCCCCCTCCTGCTCTCTCTCTCATTCTCTCTCTCAAATAAATAAACAAAATCTTTAAAAAAAAAAAAAAAAAGAGAGAAGCAAAAGACAGAAAAGGAGGTATCGGGAACAACTGAATCCTATCCCAGGACTTCTAACCCATGCCAGACTCCCTTGCCTGTACTATTTTTTTTTTAAGATTTTTATTTATTTATCTGAGAGAGAGAGAGAGAGAGCGCACATGAGAGGGGGGAGGGTCAGAGGGAGGAGCAGACTCCCTGCAGAGCGGGGAGCCCGATGCGGGACTCAATCCCGGGACTCCAGGATCATGACCTGAGCTGAAGGCAGTCGCTTAACCAACTGAGCCACCCAGGCGCCCCCCTTGCCTGTACTATTTTAACAGCAGTTAGTGCCATGTGACTTGATTCTCGGGTTCTTGATCTTCTCTAAGCTGTTCCACCAGCAGGAACCACGCGTCATGTCCTCTTCTCCATCCTTCCAGGGAATGACACGCATTAGGCACCACTCGGGAAACATCTGCTGCTGCTGCTAACTACACCACCGGCCTTTTATCATGCTCTCGCTCTCACCTTCTACGGTCTGTGCTTGGGATTCTCCAGACACTCACCGCTGCTCATCTCTTACGGATTTTCGCCTCCGCAAAGACCCACATCCGTTCCCTGAATATCCGAAGAGCGGCTACCACACCCCAGGCTGTGCGCTTGCTGCTGCAGGCCAATCTCCCTAGAGGCCCCACACCCAATGCACTCTCCCCCAACTTACCGGCTGTTGACACTGGAGTCGAAACCTTCACGGAACTCGTCCTCGCTCACCTCGCAGCCCAGGATGTGGACCCGCTCCCCACTAAGGCAGAGATGGAGCGTGTCACAGAGTCGGGCCCGGGCTTCCCCCCCACCTCCGCCCCGGGGACCTCGGGGAGAAGCTGGCGGGTACTCACCACAGCGCAGCCTTCTTGATGAGCGCCTTCAAGAGACTGCGCCCCTCCCACTGCACGGAGTCTGGGGAGAGTGAGGGACGGAGAACCAGCGTGAGAACGCGGAGCTTCCCGTCCTCGCGAGCCCCTGGAGGCCACCCCTCGCGTGGCACACACGGCTCTTCCTCCCCCGTGCCTCTGGCCCTCACCCCGCAGCAGCACCAGGCCGCCCAGAGCCAGCAGCGACTCCATCTCTAATCCGCGACGGCCCCTCCTCCGGCGCCCGCTGATGGCGTCACGGGCCGCCGCCCCGCCCCCTCCGAGGGAAAGGGGCGGGGCACCCACGAATCCTCCCACCGCTGAGACCCGCTCTAGCCCGGAATGAGAGGTGATTATGTTCAATATCCCAGGGAGGGGCCCACGCGGAGGGGGCCCCTTCCGAGCCTCGGAGCACAGAAGCCCGACCTTTTCTCCACGCCTAGGGCCGGAAGAGCCGTTGGGGCAGTTATCGGTGGGAGGGGGAGGAGGCAGCACGAGCCCGTCCGACGGCCCGAATCCCGGCGGCGGGCGGCGTCACTCCGCCCCGCCCGCAGGCCCCGCCCCGCCGCCCCCTTCCGCGCTTGCGCGATACTGCGGCCTTGTTGGGCGCTCGCTCGGCTTTCCTTACCCGCCCCCACAGACCGGGGAGGGGGAGCTTTAGTCCCGGTGAAGCGAATACACGTCACCACCGGAAACAGTGTCAGAGGGGAAGGGGGGGGAAGAGAGGAGGGAGCTCTGAGGGCGGTAAAATGGCGCCTGTCAGAGTGGGAAATCCAGCTGCAGAGGCTGCAGCCCCGCTCCCCAGCGGCTAAGGCACCTCCGGCTTCGGGGAGGGGGAGGCCGCTCCGGCCCAGCCGTCCGCGCCCTTCGGCCCCCCCTCCCCCTCCTTCCCCGCTCCCTGGCTCAGCCGGCCCGTTCGCCGCCGCCGCCGCCGCCGCCGCCGCCGCGGCCCTTCGCGCGCCGCGGCCCCCGCCCGCCCTTTCCCTCGGGCAGCCCCCTACCGCGCCTGCGCAGCGGGCCACCCTCCGCTTCCCCCTTCCCCTCCCCCCTCCCTTTTCCCTCCCTCCCTCCCTCCTCCCTGGCCCCCTCCCCCACCGCCCCCTCCCCCAATTCTCCATCCCCTTCCCTCCTGGTCTCGGAGGACCCCGTCCTAGCCCGACCCGTCTCGGCCCGCAACCTCCGCGAAGCCGTCGGTGCCACTCCCCGCCCATGTGGGCCCCCGCGGGCTGCCCACGCCTGTCCCCCAGCTCCCGGTTCCGCTGGGCTTTCCCCTCGCCGGGGGTGGCTTTCTGAGCCGCCCGCTCCGCGTCCCTCTCTGCAGCCTTTCCTGCCACTCGGGGCCCCCGTTCCCCCTCCCGGCGGCGGGGGGCTGCCCCCGGGGGGCTGGCGGAGCTGGGCCGCGGGGGCCCCGGGGCCGGCGGTGCCGGGGTCATCGGGATGATGCGGACGCAGTGTCTGCTGGGGCTGCGCACGTTCGTGGCCTTCGCCGCCAAGCTCTGGAGCTTCTTCATTTACCTTTTGCGGAGGCAGATCCGCACGGTGAGCCGGGGTGGGCGCTGGTGGTGGGAACCCAGGTCAGCGGTGCTCACGGGCTTTTGGGAAGTGTCGGGCCTCTGCTTGGGCTTCGGAACAGAGTCCTGGCGGCGGCTTTTCCCGTTGGAGAATTGGGGCACCCTTAGCTGGGCATGGGGTGGAATGGGGAGGGGGGAGACCCTTGCAGTAGAACCGAGATGGGGGCCTAGCGGGGACAGGATTTGGCAACTCTTGGGGGCTGGGGTGGTGGGTGGGGCGCCGTTTAAGAAAGCGGGAGTTGTTGTTAAAGAAACCTAGAGGAGGGAACACCTGTTTGATAGCACCAGCCCTGCCGACGTGAGCTTGTGGAAGACCCTCCGTGGGTATCGGGTCTCGTAACAAGAAAGAGCCGGGCTTGTGTGTCAAGGGTAGGGGTGGGTGGGAGAGCGTATGTGACAAACAAGGATGGGAACTTGGGAAAAGCCTTGGGTGTGAAGAAGAAACCCCTGCGGTTTGCATTAAGGGGACTCCTCCACAAACGCCCTGGAAACTTATTTCAGAGTGTGGGTGTCTGGATTTATTGAGACCCTGGGACTAAGAAAGATGCTTTCACGTTGGGCTTGAGGGAAGGGTGTCTCTGTGGGAAGATGGGCGCCTGTCGTTGTGGACTTGAACTGGGGGGCACGCGTGCCTCTCCAGGAAACCCCAGCACGGTGAGGGACACTGGGCAGTGAAGTGCCCAAGTATCTCCGGGTTCCCTCCCCAGAGCTTTTCTCCAAGGTCAAAGCTCCGTAGGCTAACATCATTTAATGAATGTGCTCTTGTGTTCTCACCACTGGGGAGAGTCCTCTGAAAGGAGTCTGGGGAGAATTCAGTGCGCTGAGGTGCAGAAGTTCTCTGGTCTGTCCTCTTTGACGTCCCTCAATAAAACTTGGAAGAGTAAAAGCAGCCAGGGCCTGCTTCGGCCAGAAAATTTCCAGAGGGCCCTGGGTGGTGGTGGTGGTGGTGGTGGTGTTGACATACTGACTGGGGGGAGTGGGCCTGGCCTCGAATTCGGTGTCTCCTCTACCACTTCCTGATTTAGGGTGAGAATTGTTTCTGGGTGGTCATAGTTGTAGGCAGGGCTAGTTCCCTCAAACACCTTAGCAGCCAAGAAGAATTTGGGGTCAGAGATGCTGAGATGTGTGTGGGGCTGGCTCCTGGGGTTTTCTTTGCATGTTAACTCCTGTCCCCTCTGCCTGGCCTTGCTCTGTGCACACCCCATCCCCCGCCAAATTTCTGTTCTGGGTGCAGGGAGTAGTGCTCCAGACCAGATGCTAGTTACTTGCAAAATTGCTCTTCTCTGGGCAGCACTCACCCCACAGCCTTTTGTCTTCCCTTCCTTCTCTTCCAGTCTGGTTTCTCCCCCAACCCCCCACCCCACCCCCTTTCTGGCAGATGCTGGGAGCATTCCCTACATGCCCAGCATGTGCAACCCGAGATAGGGCAGGACACCCGAGCTGTCGCGGCCCTCGTCCCTGCCCTCATCCCTGCCCAGGGAGAAAAGAAGGGCAGATGCAGATGCCTTGGCATTAGGGGGAGAGGGGCCCTGTGGTTTGCAAGGGGGGAGCCTGGTTCTGGTGAGGCTGGGGCCTAGGGATGGACTGAAGAGCATTTGTCTGTGCTGAGAAGAAAAGAGCAGAGGAAGGGATCGCCAGGCTTGCATGGGAGAGATCTGGGTGCTAGAAATAGGAGCCTCTAGAGGAGACCTGGAGAAGCTGGAAGGTTGAGGTGGTGATGTCCTTGTCCCTTCCTCACCTCCCTCACGGCCCTTACTTCACCCTGGCCTTCCCAGCACCCTATCAGTCATCCCCGCGGGTGGGGCTTTCCAGTGCCGTGTGTGCCCTGCTCTGGGTACCGGAATAAGGAGGCAGGTCAGAGGGCTGAGGTTCTCTGCCACTTGTGACTTGGCTGGTAGAGACAGAAGCGGACAGGTGGCTGGTTAAAATAGGCCTGGTGGCCGCCAGCCAGAGGAACTTAGCTGACCTGACAACCCCTGGATTCCCTCATCCTCCCTTCCCCTTAGGTAACCAAGGACCTCCTCTCCTGACTCCTCCTCTCAGCCCACGAAGGAATCTGAGGCTCTCAGTTCCCAAAGGGAGGTGATGGGGACTTGTCACAAAGGGTCCTTGGGGTGGACGTGCGGAAGGCCATGCATTTCTTGGTCGTGGCACACGAGACAGGATCATGGTCAAGAGGGCAGGTGCTTGGGTCGGACGGCACAGGAACCAACCTGGCGCCACCACCACATCGACCCGGATACTGACTGAGCGGCCTGTGACAGTTCTTGGGGTACAGCCGTGATCGAGACGACATGCATGCTCTCGCCGAGTTTTCATTTTAACTAGGGGGACAGACAACCAAATAAGAAAACTCCTAGCTGTGTGGTCTTACGTGGTCCTGGCTAAGTCTTGGGCTCTTCGTTGTTTAGAGATGATGATAGCGTATTATTCTTATATCATTCTTGCTGGGGTTTTGAGGGTTCAGTGAAATATTCTGCATTTACCTCGGCATACAGTGTTTCTTGTCAAGATCTCCTTGTCAAGGGTTCTGATCCCCTCTCTTGCTATTTTTAGATAATTCAGTACCAGACTGTTCGATATGATATTCTTCCCTTATCTCCTGTGTCCCGGAATCGGCTAGGTGAGTGTGCTGGCTGGAAAGACTCCTTTAAGGTGAGGCAGGGTTTAAGATGTGGGCTGGAGGTTGATTGGTATTGGTTGTGGTTCAGGTCAGGTGAAGAGGAAGATCCTGGTGCTGGATCTGGATGAGACACTTATCCACTCCCATCACGATGGGGTCCTGAGGCCCACTGTCCGGCCTGGAACGCCTCCTGACTTCATCCTCAAGGTGTGTGGGGGATGGTCATGTCTTACTCGGCTCCCACCCGGACTTCCTTTCCCAATCCCAGAGCGTCGTGTCCCTGTCCCCCATCCTCCGGCACCTGTGGCAGTCTCAAGGAGGGGAGCGGGCAGTGGGAGGGCGGGGGTGTCCTTTCGGCCTGTGCTCTGGTGCTCAGGACAGCCCCCAGCCTTTCCCTGTTGATCTACAGGTGGTAATAGACAAACATCCCGTCCGGTTTTTTGTACATAAGAGGCCCCATGTGGATTTCTTCTTAGAAGTGGTGAGTTCGCAGAAGTTAAGGGGAGCTCTGTGAGGAAGGAATGGTTTCAGGGCTCTGGGAATTTAGACGACTCGGTGGAAGTAGGGGCTGAGGAGGAAATGGGTACGGGCGGTTTTGGAGAGGGGAGGTTGTGGGACAGCCAGAGCAGGGATGGCTTTCGGTAGTTTGGGTTCATGTGCTGATGTAATTCCATTCTTCCACGGGCTGCCTGCTCGTTTGTTCTTGCAGCTCTGAATCTTAAGGGTGTGTGGTGCCTAAGACTCTGAGTTTGGGGGCCTTCAGAGACCTTTGTTGTTGCTGAGAGGCCAGAAGGACTGGGCTGGAGTCCTAGCGAAAGAGAACCGTGTGTCTAGAGGAACGGTCACCTCTTCTAACACCTGCCTCTCCCCCGCTCAATTTCAGGTGAGTCAGTGGTACGACCTGGTGGTGTTCACAGCAAGCATGGAGATTTACGGTTCCGCTGTGGCAGATAAACTGGATAATAGCAGGAGTATTCTCAAGAGGAGATACTACAGACAGGTAAGGGGCTGCCCTGCAGAACAAAGAGGAAGCTTGGGAGGCAGGCCACCAGGGAGGGATCTGAGTTTGAGGCAGCTGCCCTGGAATGGGACCCTCTGGGGGTCTGGGGGGTGAGGGGAGGCGTATCGCATGACCCCCGTGGTGGGAGTTGGCTGCCCGTAGGCATCGTTGGGACCGGGCTGCGGTCACAGGGACGAGTCTCCTCTTGATGCCCAGCTCACCCTACCTTCCAGCACTGCACTTTGGAACTGGGCAGCTACATCAAGGACCTCTCTGTGGTCCACAGCGACCTCTCCAGCATCGTGATCCTGGATAACTCCCCAGGGGCTTACAGGAGCCACCCAGGTATGGGAGAAGGTGGCGGGTCTGGCAGGACCAGGAAGTTCTGAGGAGGGATTCTGAAAGCCTGGAGCTGGGATGCCTGGTTTACTGTGGGTCAGGATGCAAGGTGTTTCTCTTTTCATGTGAGACATTCTCCTCCCTCCCACGTCCATTTCGTAGATCACATTTCTCCGACTAAATTTGCTTCAGGTGAAGCACAGTGGTAATGACTTTGCCTAGGAGCTTCACGCTAACATGAAGTACGGTGACTAAAAGTTGATTTTATTTTGGAGGATGAATCCAGAAGGTTTTACTTAGGTTGCTGGGTTTGGGTGGGTCGGGGAGAGGAACATATTTTAAAGTAACGATCCCCGTCCCCAAATAAAAGAAAAATCAGCCTGTCTGTTGAACTCTCTTTTTCCTCATGCGCATTAATTTTTACCCGCCCTAGACAACGCCATCCCCATCAAATCGTGGTTCAGTGACCCCAGCGACACCGCCCTTCTCAACCTGCTTCCGATGCTGGATGCGCTCAGGTAAGGGAAGTTAGACACTTAGATTTCTGAGGAAAGGAGGTGGGGGATCCCACGAGGGAATAAAAGTGTGTCCTGTTTGACTTATTTCTCTCTTTTCCCTTAAGAACTTAGCATTTGAACCCAGGCCTTCTTACAGTAAAGCTCATCACTTTTAGCCAGTGGGGTTTTGGGCAAACCGGGCCTCTGTTTCATGTCAAAATGGTGATCATTTCTGCCCCACATCTCCAATGAGGCCACCTACGACTAGTGTTGTGAGGATATCAACCGTAAGGACTCTACCAGTTCAAGTTCTTTTCGTCCCAGGTTCACCGCTGACGTCCGTTCTGTGCTGAGCCGAAACCTTCACCAACACAGGCTCTGGTGACAGCGCTCTCCCCCCACCTGAGCCAGGGTGGGGGGGACGGGGGTGAGCCCTCGCGGTGCCGTCTGCTGCCCTGTCCAGCGGTGAGGACTGTGTGGGCAGGGTCTGTCCCTCCCGTCCCTCTCTGCCCTGGGAGCCCTGCACTCCCTGTGGAGTCTGGATGGACACGTGGGCCGGACTCTGAAGCAGCCTCACTCGAACGTCGAGTTCGTGCTCCCCGGAAACCCCAGACTGGGACATAAGCGGAGGCCTAGGAGAGCCGAAACTGTCTGGTGGAGAGACAGGACCGGCCAGAATGACACACAGATGTTCGGTAATCCGGGAGGCTCAAAGAAAAGCCAAGCGAGCTTTGTTGTGATTTGATTTTTTAAAAACTCTTGTACAAAACTGATCTAATTCTTCACTCCAAGGGCTGGGCTGTGGGTGGGAAACTGGGATTTTTGGGCCACTGGATTTTCCCCAAACTTGTCCCTTCCCTCCCCGCCCCCCACTTATCCCTCTATTTTCCCTTCTTCCTAGATTCCCTTAGACCTGTAACCAGCTTTCTCTCTCTCTCTCTTTTTTTTTTCCTTCCTCTCTTTTAAACCATGCATTACAACTTTGGAAACCAAAGCTGCCCTAGGTCCTTCTCTCTGGGTTGGGAAATGAGGGGAGGAGCCTTTGTTCACATCCACCCTGTCCCCTGAGCAGAAGGGAGAGGCCGCGGCAGGAGGGCCAGGCGGGCTGAGGGTCGGGGAGAGATGCTGCTGGCTTTGGGGGAAGGAGCAGGGAACCTCGACCTCCGGTGCTTTGGCGGGAAGGGTCTCAGCCACGGGATGGGTGCCCTGCTGGGGAGTGAGAGGACAGCCGTGTGTCCCGAGGGAACCTGAGCGGCAGGGCAGTGGGACACAGCGGTGCGAAGCGAGGAGAAAGCTGGGCCACAAACCGGAGGGGCGGGACTTCGCCGGGGGACCGACGTGGACAGGGCAGGCGGCCGCCGCCGCAGGGCGCCCCAGCCCTCCGGGGCCGCGCCCGCCTCCCCGCCGGCTCCGCCCCCCGCCCCGCCCCGCCCCGCCCCCGGCGCCCCCTCCCTCCCCGCGGCCGGCTCTACTTCCCGCGGCCGCCACGTGACGCTCCGCCCTTCTCGAGATCACATGATTTGTCGCAGCACGGCGGTGGAGTGTTCCTCCGCGCTGACGTAGTCCCTACCTTTCGGGCCTCCTCTCCGGTCCCTATTGGTCCACTCCTGCTCGGAACCTAAGCGTTCCCTGCGTTTCTCCGAATATGTATTTCCTTTCTGCCCTCCTTCCTTTCCGCACACCCGGCTCCTCCGTTTGGGCACTACTTTGTTTTGGTGTCAGCTGCCGCCTTCGGCGTACCAACGCGTTTCGTGAATAGCTGTCCTTACGCTTACCTCTGCCTTCCCCCCCTTCACCTCGTTTCCGAAAAGAACTTTCGGAAAACCAAGCCTCAAATTATAATTAGCAGCTTCTGGCCCTTTTGGTCTCCAGCCTGGCGGGGGGAGGTCGGAACGTGGGCTTTCAGTTATTTTCGACCATAGCCCAAGCCAACCACCTTTGCTACGTCGCCTGCGTAGCCCGCAAGTTGATTCCAAAGCGATTACGTAGACGGCGTGAGGGGGGCGGTCAGTAGGTGGTGCTACGCCGGCTGCGTCCGGGCCGCTGCGCTCGTGGCGTAACGTAGCGGGCGGGGCGGCCTCGGATGGTCGGGGGCGGGGTTGGTGAATAGGGAAGTGGCGCAAGTCCCGGGATCGCTCCGCTGAGTCCGCCCGCGCGTCGCCGCCGTCGCCGCCGCCCCCCGTCCCGGCCCCCCCGGGTTCCCTCAGCCCAGCCCGGTCCAGCCCGGTTCCCGGGAGGATGAAGTTCGTGTATAAGGAGGAGCATCCGTTCGAGAAACGCCGCTCTGAGGGCGAGAAGATCCGAAAGAAATACCCGGACCGGGTTCCGGTGAGGACAGTAGCCAGGGCCGAGGGCGCGGGGCGCTGGCGCTGACGCCGCAGCCCGGGGTTGGGGTCCGGCCGGGCAGCGTGGGCAGCGTGGGCGTCGGGCTGCCGGCCGAGGCGGGGTTGGGAGCCGCCCGAAGCTGCTGTGGCTGGGACCCGAGGTTGAGTGGAGCGGGGCAGCGGGAGAGCGGGGGGTGAGGGGACGTGGATGGCAGGGAGAGACGTGGGGAGTGGTGTGGGAGGCTGCAGGGAGTTTGACAGTCTGAGCTTCACATGGCCATCCCCCCCCCCAGCGAGCTGGGGTTTTGAGGTGGACGCTCTGGTCGGCCCAGTCGAGTCATCCCTGCCTGATTAAGAGACTTGTTTATTATGACGCCCTACTTGGGGATCCTGGATGTTTAGGCGAGTCCTACGCAGTGGGGTCAGGATCTCTACTCGAGGCTGCACCGCGTGTTCCCAGACAAAGAAAAAGGAGTCGAAAGGGCTTGGGTGCTAAGAATTTTGTTTCTTGAGTTCTTGACAGGTGTAATGGTGGGGCTGTCCACCCAGTGTTTCCTAATTTTCATCTTCTCTTTATCAGGTGATAGTAGAAAAGGCTCCCAAAGCTCGGATAGGAGACCTGGACAAAAAGAAATACCTGGTGCCTTCTGATCTCACAGGTGGGGACGTGTCGGGCTACCCAGGTTTGCTTCCTGCGGTGGGAGTGCAGTCTCTGTGGGAAGAGGCTCCACACAGGGACTGTTGTTTTGAGGCCATTTGGGACTTTATCGTACCTTGTCTCTTTGGCAGTTGGTCAGTTCTACTTCTTGATCCGGAAGCGAATTCATCTCCGAGCTGAGGATGCCTTGTTTTTCTTTGTCAACAATGTCATTCCACCCACCAGTGCCACAATGGGTCAGCTATACCAGGTACGGTGACTGGAGAGGGGTCAGGGCTTTGGAGGAAGAGAGTTTCAGGTCAGCAGTTCTCGGACTAGCTGGCTTGTTTAGCTCTCAGTTTTATCTTTGGCCTCAAGATTTTGGGGTAGTTGGTTTGGACAAGGGGTTGAAGGTTTGGACAAGGGCAGTAGGAGTAGAGAGGAGGGAGGGAACAGTGGAGCTCAGTTCTGACCCTCACTCTTCTCCAGTTTCCCCCCCTCCCAGAGCAGCAGAGAACAGTCTGAGATCTTTTTGCCCAGGACTGTTGCTAGGGCTAATACTACTTGGCTGCTAAGGCCTGGAACAAGTGAGGGAGTGAGTCAGGGCATGAGTGTTTGGGGGCTCTTCAGAAAAAAGGGCTTTTGAAGAATGGGTCTGGGCAATGGGTGGGTCAAGGAACTACAGCCCAGATGTCTGAGCCGTCATTTTCTGCCTCTGCCCCAGGAACACCATGAAGAAGACTTCTTTCTATACATCGCCTACAGTGATGAAAGTGTCTATGGTCTGTGAAGCTGCTCCCCCTGAGGTGGGGGGTCCCGTTCTACAAAGAGAGAGGTGGCCCCCCCTTCCTTGACCTCCTCCTCCTCCGGGCTCAACCACCACCTCCCTTCTTCAGGACCTGCACTTCCTAATGTTTGAGGCTCTCTTCCAGCCCCTCTTAGCAGGAGGGCTCGTGGGGGAGGTGACCTCTTGGACCTCTCCTTTTTCCCCTTTCTCTTACCACCCTTCCCACTCTGCTTTAGACTTCTCGATTGTCAGTCTGTCACATCCAGCGATTGTTTTGGTTTCTGTTCCCTTTCTAACTGCCCAAGGGGCTCAGAACCCCAACATTCCCTTCCTTTCACTACTTTCTTTTTTGGGGGTAGATGGAAGGGACTGAAATTGTGGGGGGAAGGTAGGAGGCACATCAATAAAGAGGAAACCACCAAGCTGAACTGGAATTTGCTTTGTGTTGCTTCCTGCCCTCTTTTTCTTTTTAGTTGTCCTCTGGTGGGGAAAGTGGAGGTTGGAGGGGTAGTAATATATTTTGGTTCATTCTGTTGATGTTGGGTTTTTCCTTGCGCAAAAAAAAAAAAAAAAAAAGTTTTTGTTGTGATGGAATACTCCGAGTGTCTTTTTGTGAAACTTTAGTTTTATAGACGTGTGTATTGGGGCCCGATGTAAAAAATACAGTGGTTTGTTTTGTTTTGTTTTTTACCTTGGGTTCCTGGGGAGAAAGTTTGAAAGTACCTGCTTTAGAGAAGTACATCCAAGTTTGTAATGGCCTTTGGATTCAGGAAGAGCTTTTCGTGCGTGGGAACTGGTCAGAGGACTCCGTCCTCGGTTGCGTCTCACTTGGCCAGACTTTGTGGCGGTGGGTAGAATTCAAGGGAGGGAGAAGACGGGGAGGAGGGAGCCATTATTATCGGGAGAACTTCATCCCCCAGCAACCCCTTCTCCGTCTGGCCGGAAGTGGGGCGGTCCCCCGCGGGGAGAAAGAAGCCGCAGAATGAGGCAGTATGGTGGCCGAGAGTTCTAATCCCTTCTTTTCCTTCTTTCTTAGTCCCGCCCAGCCTACATTTCCCAGGAGCCTGCGCGCGCTCTTCCGCTCTACCCTCCGCTCCCAATCTCCCCGCCACTCCCCGGGGGAGGGGAGCGGTTTAGTGCGCCTGCGCTCTTCCTCGGCTTGCTGGGAACTGAAGTTCCGGAGGCCTATGCAGTCCCCTTTCCGCTGCCCCCGGACGGACTACAAGCCCCTTGATGCATTGCGCGTCGGCACCCGCGAAGGGAGGAGGGAGAGAGGAGGAGGGAGGGAGGAGAGAGGAGGAGGAGGGAGCAGGCGGCCGGCGGCGCGGGGGGAGGGGGCCCGGTCCGGGAGTGCGGGAGGCAGGGGTAGAGGGAGGTGGCGGCAGCGGCTAGCGGACTCGAGTCATAACCGGGCCGAGGCAGACACCTCTGTGGAGCGAGGCAGTAGGAGCACCGAGCACCGGAGGCGGCACCGGGATCCCCGGCTCAGGGGAGGGGGGCGCCGGACCGGGAGGAGGGGAGGGGGCGATGCTGGAAGCCATGGCGGAGCCCAGTCCCGAAGGTGAGCTCTCGACCGGCACGGAGCGCTGAGCCGGTGGGGGGCGGGGGAGGAATCAATTGGCAAACTTGGAGGTCGAGCCCCGGAGCCCAGCGGGGGAGCGCGGGGAGGGGGTCGGGGGCCTGCCCCTGGAGGTGGGAGAGCGACGAGTTGAGAGATCTTGGTGAAAGAGGAGCGGGAGACTGGGCTGGGGGTAGTTGGAGATCAGACACCGTGAATGTGTGTGGGGGGGTGGGGAGTGGGAGCTGGAGCCCCGGAGCTCCGGGGGTTAGGGGCCGTAAGGGCCTCCAGCACGTTGGGGCCCTGAGGCTGGGAGGCCGGGGGAATCTGGGAGCCGGAGAGTTGTTGAGGAGGGAGGATGTAGACGAGGACGGAGTGAGGAGCCCTGTAGTTCGCCGAGGCGGGGGAGTTTGTGGCGGTGGAGCTCCGGGTAGTTGCCGCCGGAGATAGCCCGGTGATTGTTGGAGGGGTGGGCAGATAGTTGTGGGGAGAAGAGGGGGTCTGGGTATTGTCTGCGGTAGAGAGACCTGTACAGGGCGGGTAGTTGTGGGGAGAGAGAGCTGGGGAGCGAGGAGAGGCGGGTAGTTGTAGGGGCGGTGGGGCGGGGTGTGGGGGGGTTGAGACCGGCGAGTTGCGGGGGGGGTGTTGGTCGGCGAGGGCTGGAGCCTGGGAGTTGCGGAGGGCGAGGGGGGCAGCGGCGGCGGCAGCGGGGGTTGCCGTAGAGAGAGAGAGTAGCCGGTGGGCGGGGGGGGGCTAGAGTTTAGGGGTCCGCAGCCTAGTCACTTGGTGGTGAGTCCGGGGGCGGAGGGGGGGGGCGGCGGCCGGAGGGCTCGGAACTGGGCCCGGGGGCCCGGCGGGGAGCCCGAGGAGCTCGAGACGGGGAGGGGCCAAAGCCCCGGATGGGGGCGGAGGGACGGCGAAATTGTGGGGAGCGCGATATGGGGGGGGCAGGTGGGGCCGCGTCCGGGTTAGAGCTCTCTGGTCTGTCCCAGCCGCGAAGTGGCGTTGGATGTGTGTGCCTGTGTGTGTTTAGGGTGGGGGTGAGGGGCGCGCCGGGCCTCGTGCTCGAGTAGAAGGGGCCGGAGGGCGGGGAGCGGTTCAGCGTGGTCATCCTGGACCCTGGGGGCCGGCGGGCTGCGTGTGCGGTCTCCGAGGGCCCCGGGCGGTAGATCGCGACCGGGTAGGAACTCGGGGCCCTGGGCGCGTGTGAAGGACAGGGGCAGGCGGCCGCCCGAGCTCGGTCCGGGGAGCGGTATGGCGGGGTGGGGCGCCAAGAGATCGAGTAGACTGGAGTCTAGAGAAACCGTGAGTTGGGGGGGCGGGGCGCCAGGCCTCCGGTGGGGGGAAGGGGAGCGCTATAGCGAGGCCTGAGAGGGCGCCGCGCCCTGGCTCCGCCCCTCGCAGGGCGGAAGGGGGAGCAGGGGCGGGTCCAGCACAGCTGGGGACCTGCTGGCCTGGCTGGGGGACCTGAGGGGAGAGGGGTTCGCTTGGGACCTCCGAGATTTAGAGGTGGGGTTTCGCACAGATTCTTTGCTGGTGCCTTGACTCAGCTTTTATTGCTTTCACAGATCCACCTCCGACCCTGAAGCCAGAAACTCAGGTGAGCTTTCCCTTACCTTTGCAGCCTAGTATTACTGCCGGATGCCCTCCCCCTCCCCTCTTTCCTCCTCTGGCCTTTTCTAGATCCCTCACTCAGGGGAGTATACCTTCGGGAATGCCCCTCTTCAATGGGAATGCCCCTCTTCAATTCCTTGCGATACATGTTTCCTTTCAGCCACCAGAGAAGCGTCGGAGAACAATTGAGGATTTCAACAAATTCTGCAGTTTTGTCTTGGCCTATGCCGGTTACATCCCCCCGAGCAAAGAGGTAGGGTCTGGAGGACGGCCAGCTTGACGGTGGGGTCCTAGGCCGTAGAGGGGTGTGGAGCAAAGGGGACCGCGGTACTTTATAGGAGAAACCTATCAGATGTGATGGGGCAGAGCAGGGAAATTGGAAACTGGTGGGAACACTAGTCCCTTGGGGTGGCTTGAGCAGCAGTGAATGGCCTGGGGGTGTTCATGGAAGGTGCTTCTCAATGCACTGGAGGAAAACAGACATAAAGAAATAGGGCTCTGGTCTGGGGGAGACAGTGCTGTGAGGCAGGCGGGACTGGGGAGATGGCCAGAACCTGAGGGCAGAGGCAACAGGGAAGTTTGTAAGAGGAGATGCTGAGGGGAATCGGGGAGGGGACAATTCTGAGTGTAGTGATTTTTGGGTGGTCTGGGCAGGATATATCCAGGTAGATCTTGTCCCTGGTTTTCAAGCTGGGTTCGTAGAGGGGCTGGGATGCCACCGGGCCGCCTGCTGACCCTGGTCTGTCCCCTTTCAAGGAAAGTGACTGGCCAGCCTCTGGCTCCAGTTCTCCATTGCGTGGCGAGAGCGCGGCCGACAGTGACGGCTGGGACTCGGCCCCCTCAGACCTCCGAACCATCCAGACCTTTGTTAAGAAAGCAAAATCATCCAAGAGAAGGGCGGCTCAAGCAGGTCCCACTCAGCCAGGACCCCCGAGGTCCACTTTTTCTCGTCTGCAGGCCCCTGACAGTGCAACCCTGCTTGAGAAGATGAAGCTCAAGGACTCTCTCTTTGATCTAGATGGGCCCAAAATGGCATCTCCACTGTCCCCCACATCCCTGACCCATGCCTCCCGGCCCCCTGCTGCTCTCACCCCAGTACCCCTTTCCCAGGGGGACCTCTCCCAACCTCCTCGGAAGAAGGACCGAAAGAACCGAAAGTTGGGGCCAGGAGGGGGGGCTGGCTTTGGGGCGCTTCGGAGGCCTCGGCCAGCTCCTGGGGATGGGGAAAAGAGGTCTCGAATTAAAAAGAGCAAGAAACGGAAGTTGAAAAAGGCAGATCGGGGGGATAGACTCCCACCTCCTGGGCCTCCCCGGGCACCCCCCAGTGATACAGACTCTGAAGAGGAGGAGGAAGAAGAGGAAGAGGAGGAGGAGGAAGACATGGCAGCAGTGGTAGGGGGTGAAGCCCCAGCCCCTGTGCTGCCAACACCCCCCGAGGCTCCTAGGCCCCCTGCTGCAGTGCACCCTGAAGGAGCCCCTCCCACTGACAGCGAGAGCAAGGAAGTGGGCAGCACTGAAACGAGCCAAGATGGAGACGCCAGCTCGAGTGAAGGCGAGATGCGGGTCATGGATGAGGACATCATGGTAGAATCAGGTGAGAGGTCTGGGGCTGCCCAGGGTTAGCTGGAGGATGGGCTTGGGCTGTTGTGGACCCAAGCGCTCAGGCAGAACGCCAACCAAACCTTCTTTCCCCAGGTGATGACTCATGGGACCTGATCACATGTTACTGCCGAAAGCCCTTTGCAGGGCGGCCCATGATTGAGTGCAGCCTGTGTGGGACCTGGATCCACCTCTCCTGTGCTAAGATCAAGAAGACCAACGTCCCTGACTTCTTTTACTGCCAGAAATGCAAGGAACTGCGGCCAGAGGCCCGGCGGTTAGGGGGGCCTCCCAAATCTGGAGAGCCCTGACACCGCCGTCTCCAGGCTGGGACTTCCAAATGACAACGTGACTTGGGAACTGAGCCTCAGGGTCCTCAGCCTATCCCCTGGAGCTTGGATCATTGTCCCACTTCAAGGCAGGAATTCCCAAGGGAGGCTGGTTTGGGATGAATGGCTCACGGTCCAACCTTAACCTTTCCTTCCCACCTTGTGGACTTGAACATGGACCCATTACAGCTGGGGGTGGGAGGCTGTCTGGGTCCCTAGACACTTAATCTCTGTCCCTTAGACCTGCCGCCCCTCACTTTCTGGGCCAGGGTTGGAGCTGGGGTGGAATGGGGCAGTTGTCTATAAAACTCTAGTGTAAATAGAGCAC